GAAAAGCCGTGCATCTCAGGGAGCCCTTTAACAGGTAGTAAAACTGAAGGATCAGAGGCAAGAGGATTGATTGATCATGATGGTGGAGCTCACGATCTTTTATATCCAAGAAATGGTGCTCATTGTACAAATGAAACTGCTGATGTTAGTTTTGTGGAGAATAAACCTACATGCATTTCAACAAACAAGTCCAACGGGTCTAATGAAGAATCAGCGGCATGTCAGTTGCCTTTCGCAAATATTGTCAACTTTGATACAGAGAGAGACAAGAATGATGGTGAGAAGATAGCTCAGACATCTTCCGGTGGACCAGGAAAACTTGCCTCAGTTAGCCCGACCGCCATTGGACAAACTAATGTTGAAGAGCCTAGACATCAAACAGGGGAAATTGGCAAGCAACCTTGGCTACCACCTGCTAAGATTTCAACCCACACACACCAGGCATTGGATGTTGAAGAGCCCTCTAAACCTACAAAATCTGATTTTCTCGAGAGGAATGGCGATAAAATTGCTAAAATCCAGTTGGGGAAGAAGGTGGCTGAAAGGAAGACTTTGGGTTCTAAGACCAAGATCAGTAAATCTGCCAACACGAAAGGCTCAATATACCCAAGGAAGGCTGCTTCCTCAACTGATGCAATGAACTCTTCAAATGTCAGGGACAATACGGTTATTTCTGACAAATCTCCAGACAATCATGTTGATATAGCCCACGCACAAAATGGTATTGCATCGTTGGAGGGGGTGAAGGATATTATGCAAGCTGAGGATGGCATTAAGGATATTATGGATGGGGATACCGAAGCCCCTGAGGACAAGGATGATTGTGCTTTGGTGGGAGCAATCAATGAAGGAAATCCCGATGGATATCAGTCAATACAAAAAGAAGATGTGCATATGGAGGAGACTTCGAATTGTTTGGCAAAGGAAACAAATATCTCTGGTGATCACATGCCTGATGATGCTACTAAATCCAAAGAAGGTTCAAACAAAGAAAAATCAGAAAGGACCTATGGCAAAACTTATGGGCTAAAAAAGTCAAATTCGAGGACAGCAATAGAAGGCAAATTTATTAAAGGAACTAAAAGTTCTTCTGGTAAGAAGCTGAAGATGGTCCCTGATGCTAATGGGAAAACGGGATGCAATGTTGGCTTGGATGGGGGAGGATCATCTCTTCTGCACGCTGACCAAAGGGTGGAAGAGCATAATGGAATCTTATGTTCTTCAGGCAGTGGTAGGGGCTGCACGGTGAAATCAAACAAATTTGAGAGCTCAATTGAAGTGGAGAAGGAGAACCAACCAGTTCTGAGTGCAGATCATGGTATAAGTCAGGGCAAATTACAAAATCGGAAATCCTCTGTTAAATCCAGCAGAATGAGTTGGCAAAATGATGAAGAGGCTCGAAAAAATTGTGGAAACTCAGTAGCAGCAGAAACTCTCAACAGAAAAAGAACTGAACCCGCGTGGTTTATACTGAGTGGACATAAGCAACAGAGGAAAGAATTTCAGCAAGTTGTTCGATGTCTCAGAGGGAGATTATGCGCAAATTCCCATAAATGGTCATACCAGGCAACACACTTCATATCTCCAGATCCTGTACGCAGGACTGAGAAGTTTTTTGCGGCTGCTGCTTCTGGAAGGTGTTACTCTCTGCATGGCCTGCTCATTGCATTTTTCCTCACAATGTTAATGAATGCTTTGGTAGCACTATCTTAAAAAGACTAATCTCTCTAAGTATATGTGCATGTTATCTCTGGACTCTAGCTACTCCTCTATCTTGCTGAGGATGTGATTTCTGCAACATGTTCTTCATGATTAAAAAGTCTATTATCTTATTTTCTTTATCTTCTGGGTGCAGGTGGATTCTGAAGCCTGAATATCTGACTGCTAGTAGTGAGGCAGGAAAGTTTCTGGCTGAGAAACCTTATGAATGGCACAAAAATGGCCTTAGCCAAGATGGTGCAATTAGCTTAGAGGCTCCGAGAAAATGGCGGCTTTTAAGGGAGCGGACAGGACATGGTGCCTTCTATGAGATGCGTATAATAATTTATGGTGAATGTATCACACCGCCTCTGGTATGTTTCCTCCTATATTAATGAGAACATCGCATCACTTACTGGTCCATACAATTCTGACTTCTGGCACATAATTGCTGTTAATAGAAAGCCTTATATCGTAGTTATCCACGAAGTTTCATATAGTGAGACTTTTGAAACTTCTTTTTTCATATAGTGATACTCTTGAATCTTACTGACCAGGACACACTGAAGCGTGCTGTGAAGGCTGGAGATGGGGCTATATTAGCAACTTCTCCACCTTATGATCGGTTCCTTAACACCAGAGTCGACTTTGCCGTCATCAGTCCCGGGATGCCACGAGTGGATGTGTCGGTCCAGGAATTCCTGAAGCATGAGATACCGTGCATTGCGGCAGATTACCTAGTTGAGTACGTGTGCAAACCAGGATACTCACTCGAGAAGCATGTGTTGTACGGCACACATGCCTGGGCAGAGAAGTCATTTTCCCGTCTGCAGTCAAAGGCAGAAGAGGTGGTGAACTTAACACCACCAGATGATGGTGATATATGTTGCCAAGTTTGTGGTTCTTGTGATAGAGGGGAGGTGATGCTCATCTGTGGTGATGAGAGTGGTTCAGTTGGTTGTGGGACAGCCACTCATATCGATTGCTGTGATCCTCCACTCAAAGCTGTTCCAGAAGAGGATTGGCTTTGTCCAAGGTGTATCCAAAGTGCAAAGAAAACCACAAAATCCGCTCCAAAAAGGAAACGTGGGACTGCATCATCAAGGTACAAGTGATTAATTTATGCTATGCAAGACTCCGATCGCGTCAAGGTGAAACATCTGTAAATTTTTTGGGGGTACAGGATAGAGGTAGTAATGCCGGGCATAACATATTACTCCTAATAAGTGTCATGCTCTCGACACAACTCGGCATAAGGATACTTACAGGTGTATCTTTTGGGAGTTCGAATGTATTGGATCAGTGGCTGGCAATTGTTCGCTTGTTACTGTTGCTCGATTCAAGTGCACTCCGGTTTTAACTGTAGTCATGTAGCAGAGAGAGTGACTGCCCTTTTAGACTCGCTTTTCGATAGTCATGAAAGTCAGACATAACCGCGGACTTGTTCTTTCACCGACAATCTGTTATCCTGCCGCTTTTGCTGCATTAACCTGTGAAATGATCATTTATTCCGGTGCATTTCTCGTGCTTTGGTTGACTGTCCATGTTTGTTTCTCTGGGGCAAGGATCTACTGTTAGTGCCAGTTTAATAAGTTGGAACAATACCGTAATTGTAGTCTTTTCTCGATTTAGAAATCGGAATGGATCCAATTTGAGACGGTTGGAAATTCAACAAAGAAAATTTGTTGAAATTCGCGAATCTTTTGATAAGAAGTTACTGATAGAAATTACTCGGTCCTCTTAGTTCTTCCGCTCACGTTTCTCTTCCAACATCACTCTTTTCCTCAGTAGTCAGTAAGGGCCGATTGATAGAACCACGAGTTCATCGGTTAGTAGTGAAATCCGTGGCTAAGAAGCCTGTCCTTTGCGACATGTATTCCTTGCCTTAAGTCCTCGTCCTCAGCACAGGCGCCGCTTTCGGCTACAAGCCCCTCTCCGCTTTCAGTATCTCCAAACAAAATATCTTCTATAATTGCGTTTTCATTTTCGTATCTGCATTTCTTGTGCGAAAACTGAAACATATTGCGGAACATCGGTCTTTTCATTACCCCATTTGAGAGTATATTATCTTGATGCGACTAGCTTTGCTTAACTTGCTTATGCACATATGACGACGACGGTGAACAGATCGGCCTACCCAACCCAAGTGGACCCACCTCGTTTGTTTGCCCAGAAGAGAACAAAACGTGCTTCAATAATCGAAAAGAAAAGGGAGAGATTGCTGAATAATGAATGTGGCGATTGATCAACTAAGCATTGGGTTCTCTGGTCAACGTTTAACGGAATAATTAGCTGGGAAGCGTACAAAGCCATCTCTGCCAGAAGTAACATGCGCATCCGACCGTTTTCACAAGGAATGAGATTCTTCTTCCCCTACAGACCAATTGACGCGCTCAACTAGAATATTTGAAATGTTGCAACGTCATTTTTGCCAAATCTTAGGAACCAAGTCTGTTCTTGTTGGAGTAGCTTTTTGACAACATATTATAATCGCCATCAGTGAATCGAATTCATCTTAATCGACTCGACAACCTCTCCATGGGGTCGCTGAATGCTAGCGATGGTATAAAAAATCTCGTAAAGAGAGCTCCAATAGATCGCAGTGGGACTTTGCCTCAACATTGCTCAGTTATAACGCAACAAAAAATTCCTCGGTTTTTCTCTCGATTTTTTTTACCCCTCCTTTCCTTTTATTGATGTGTTAATATGGGGATAATGAGCTGGGAGCTTACTGTAATCACATGCAAGTTTCAACTACCCATGGGTATAAATTCTCGTTGCTAGGTGCACCGAGCTCGTGTGAACTCGGCGCATGTGAGCCAATAGATTCGACGGGGGATTTCGTTTGAGATCCTCGCGATCTGAGGGCTCTCGTGCATTTCGCTCCGGACGCATGCAAGAATTACTCGGACAACAACAATCAATGTCCACAGCGTCACCCAACTGGCGACTCTGCAAAGCGAGCTTTTAGCCATTGTCAGGATACGGCAAGAAATGGGAAGTTTGAAAAAGCAAAGCAATAAATGAAATCTAGAGGAATGTCAGATATGTGCTCGGATGAACAAACAGGGCAAAAAATCAATTGAATGCTGGCAGATTGGATATTGGAGAGAACCCCAAACAAACAATGTTACCTTTCTTCTGCAATCTTCCTGCCACCATACTGACAATGATCTCCATCAGGACCAGCGACCATTTATGCTGGTTGCTTTACGTTGAGACAGTAATGGCCATCGAACGACCCACCATACCATCAACTAAAAATCAGTAAATGCAACTCACAGACGACATTAAAGATGAGAGGAGAAGGGAAGTGGGTAGTATTGAATGATGAACATCTCTGTACAGGCGGATTGATGAGGAAGGAAAGAAAGAGGAAGGTGCAAAATTTTCCGGTAATCCTACGATGCCCCATCTGTACAAAGAAATTTTGAACCAGAATTGCCCGTTGGGCGACATCGATAGAACTATATATAAGCTAAATCTTGTAACATAATCAGCAGCTCAATGCAGCATATTTCACTGGAAGTGGACGGTTAAACCCGACTTGAGACAACAAACTTCCCACCGCAGCCAGATCACGGCAAAACACTCCTTGATAGACTGATGCATCAATAGATGTTTTTGTATTGGCACGGCCTGAGTCGATCTGAACAGGGGCCGTATTGTCTAATGGTTTTGGGATGGTGATTGTGTTGGGTTTTGTCTCTGGTTTGGCTTCATGGCATTGTTTTGCTTGAATCGATGCTTGTTCTGCTTGCAGTGCAGCTGCAATCTTCTTTCTCTGTTTCTCCGCTTCTTCCTCTTCTGTGATCGTAGCCTTAACACGGGCATAACCCTTCTGAAGCAGTCTATACAGCAACACAGCTGAGACCTTTGCACGGTCCTTGACTGAGTCGAGATTGAAATCATCAGCAAACTCACACCGGTCCAAGAAATCTATAGCCCTATCGGGCTTGTGTCTCAGAGAAAGCAACAGATATGCTCTCTCCAGTTCAGACCTCGAACAACCCCGCCTTAACCCAATCAAAGAATAGTAGTCTACATTTCCAGTCTCACCCGAAGCTACCCTTCGCTTCAACTCTTGGATTTTTGTTGTGAGAAGACACAGCTTGCCCGGAATTTCAGCATAACGCACATTGTACTGTTTCCAAGCAGGGCCCGGGAGTTTCCTGTTGCGCAGGATTGTATTGTATAGAAGTTTCAAGTGTTCCAGGTCATGCAGACAATCTGGCAAGCACCTTATTGCTTCTAGCAGCGAAGCTCTGGTGTCCAGGGCTTGAATGCAGCTGTTGTCAAGTGCAAGTGTCCGATTACAATCAGCAATGGATTCCGCGATCCTTCCAGCCGAGCGGTAAGCAGAGGCACGGTACAGGTAGCATTGAGCAAGGAATCCCTGAGGAGCCCCATATTTTCCATCGACGATTTTGGTAAAGTGGCGTATGGCCTCAGAGTAGAGGCCAGCATCGAGAGCGGCAAGAGCAGCTGTACGGCGGCGAAGGAGGAATTTCACGCGGCTCAGGAGTTGGTTGATGGAGTCTAATGCCGATTCAGTCGGCCGCGGGTTGGCCTTTTTCGCGGCGATTGTTTCACTAAAGCTCGGCAATTCAGGAAAAGAGAAGCTGTCGTCGGACCAGCACACGCTCTCACGTCGGAACGCATCAGTAGCCAAGCGTTTTCCTGTTTGCAGAAGTACCAGAGAGTCCTCCATTAGGCCCAAATGGCAGCACGCTTTACCCAGAACCAAGTACCTGCATAAGACGAGTGCATAAACTATAAGCCACTAGTGATAAAGCACCATCAAACAAGCAAACTGAATCTAACTCCAAAGTCCCAAACATTGATTGATCAGGACAATCAGATAAACTGGCTCCGGAGTCGATATCATTCGAAGCTCTCTTCGCAAGTTAGCAAAAGCATTCCTTTGTCCAACTTGAAAGAACCCGGTTGCTGCTTCGATCCAACTCACCATATTATCAATTCAAACCAACAGAAATAAAGTACATTTTTACTACAAACAATAGTATGTTCGTCCAAACGATAATCTCGGACCAACCACTCCAGAGACAGACAGACGACCGCAATTGCGATGAAAATGAAACAAAACACAGGCAAAGACCAGTACCTCCATTGACCTTCCTTATCGCAACTTTTACTCAGCCCAGCCATGACTTTCTTCTTCAAATCCGAGACGGAGAAACACTTGAAACTCGGATCCCGGCTGGACGAATCGGAAGAACCGGAGAGGAGCTTGGCTTGCTCCTTGGACAGCTGCTGGGAGGAGCCGTCGGAGGCAACGGAACCGGTGTCGTCGCTCGCCATCTTGAGACTGGGAATGTAGTCCTGGAGCATATCGGCGACGTCCTTGAACCGCCTGAGGAAGAGCAGCGACCTCGCCTTGAGCTCGAGGGCGAGCTCGAGGCGAGGCGACAGGGCCAATGCCGAATCCAAGAGGCTTATCGCGGAAGCAACCTCGCTCCACTCTCGAGTGGCGATGAGGTTCCTAGCATCTCTAATGCACTTATCCACAATCTACAGAAAAGAAGAGAAGAGAAAAAAAAAAATCAAGCGCGCATTCGTCGCGATCCTTCAACTAGGGAAGCAGCGAAAAATGCATGATTCGGAATCGGAGCGAGGGAGCGCAACTTTCCGATGCTCGTGAAGCCGACGCAATCGGAAGGCATTGACGCGGAGAACAGAGAGAGAGAGAGAGAGAGAGCGCGATCCATGGATCGTGTGTGTTGTTTTACCTTGCGGTTGGTGAGCCACCAGGGCTTCTTCTCGCCGCCGCCGCCCAAGTAAGGAGAAGCCGCCATGAGCGGCGTCGCCTTGGTAGCCCCGCCGCCCCTGAACGAGCCGTTGTAGGCGGAGGAGCGATCGACCATGGGAAGGGAAGGGAAGGGAAGGGAAGGGAATGGCGGCTCCTCCTCCTCCTCCTCCTCGTCGCCGATCGACACGCGCTGCTCACTCAAGAAGCCATGCACGAGCAGGAGCAGGAGCACGTCGTCTCCCGTGCTGTTATAAAGGAAGAGGAGGAGGAGGAGGAGAGGATTAACAGAGAGAGAGAGAGAGAGAGAGAAGCAGGGGGAGGGATTTGAAATGAGAGCAGAGGAGCAGGCATAATAAATGAGAGGGGAGTGTGGGCAATGGCAACGGGGAGAGAGAGAGAGAGAGGAGAGAGAAAGTGACAGCTTTGATCTCACGGTCTCAAGGTCAGAGAAGAGAGAGAGAGAGAGAGAGAGTGATCTTTTTGGTGGATCCTGCAACTTCACAGCTGGCAAACCGCCATAGATTCTCTCTCTCTCTCTCTCTCTAGGAGAGGAGAGAACACGCTGGGGGGGGGAGGGAAGGTGTGCTCGATAGCAAAAAGGTCGAGCGGAGGGAGAGAAAAAGGTGGCGGTGGCGGTGGCGGGGGCGGGGGTGACCGGGAATAGCCGGTGAGAGGGGGGGCGGGGGTGGGGAGGGGGGGAGCCGTCGCGGCCCGTGCGTGACGCGACAGGTGGCTCGTCACGGGGGTCCGCAGAAAGCTCGAGCCCCACGGGACGCCATCCGGACCGGACCGGACCGGGACAGGCCCCGAAATTTCGCCCTCCCGCCCCCCAACCCCGAAGAAAGTCAAAAAAGCGGCGGGTGGTAGATTGGTTGTCACTTGTCATTTCCAAATTAACCACCCCACCCCTACCCTTTTCTTGTCAATGAATGAAATGAAATAAAGCTTCTCAAGCCAATCCCAACCTCCAAATATATATTTTATCTATTTTCTTTTTACACGACGGTAAAAAAAAGTTAAAGATAATGCTTAAATTAAAAAAACAGAAATAATGTGTGTACGCGATCCTATTTGTCAGCATTTGCATTATTTTGTCATGTAGAGCGATAACGTATTCCGGACGTTTTTATCTCCCGATTTTTCCAACATCAAAACGAAACAAAGTGATGGTCCAATCAAACGTGACCCCCGGATCCCGCCCGTGATCGAACACCCAACTGTCTTCACAGCCCGCGTGCGAAGGACGGTCCAAAAAGAATTCGGGCTCGTCCGAACTTCCACGGCGCGGCCGTCGCATCGCTCGCTCTCTCCCTCTCTCTCGAGAAAGAGAAAAACCGCGTTACGCGTGGATCGGAAAGCCGCATCGACACGTCACCACCATACGACGAAACGTAAGGACACCACCAAGAAGACTTTGATTCTAAGAACCGAGGGTGGCATTAGAGTGTCGCTCACGTTACGTTGTCCTTAGAAAAATCGCCCCCAAAAAGAGAAGAGCTTGCTGCGGCTCCCGTTCATCTCTCCTTTGCCTTCCCTTCCCTTTGAGGGAGGGCTTCGCCTTGCGAGCTCCCCAACCATCCCCCCCAACATTAAATGAAGCGCACATGAATTTGGCTTTTGGCGCTGGCCCCCTCGTTACCGCCAAAAGCGTCGTCGTAAAAAAGCCCTTCGTAAAACCTCGCTTTCGCGGGGTCCCGCGAAGCAAACGGGGCAGGGACAAGGACAGGGGCTTGCCTTTCGTAAAGGACAAGGGGTTTTGCCCCCGCCTCGCCACGATCTCCTTCGTGGACAGCCTACTACTGCGCCTACGCCTTCGCTCGCCATCGTGGCATTCTCTCGTGGTCGGGCCCACCGCCGGCCCGGGGGGAGCGAGGACACCCTGTACGTCCGTCCAAAGCTCGGAAGATACAAAAGGAAAAGTATGGTGCGTTTGCGTTTGCGTTTGCGCTTGCGCTTGCGTCGTAAAAGTCACGATAAAGAGGGCGAAAATAACGTCTGCTGTACCTGCATCACTTTCGTTATCGATGACTGCGTTGTGCAGCTTCCATTATCAGATGCTATCCAGTATTGCATTTATGTTTTTCCGGGGAGGGTTCGGGACCGGCTCTGATTCTCTTAAACCCTGGCTTACCGGGACCGAGCCTGTCGTGACCGTCGATGGCGAGGGCGTCGCTCCGAGCGAGCGCACGCGGTAAGAGAGTTTCGATCGTTTGTAGGCTCGAACATGTGAGCGTCCCCGAATAATGGTGACCCACTTTACAAGCAAGGACCCTGCAAATACAAGTTTCGGCACTTGCACAGCTAGGAGAACGGAGGTTGTGGAAATGGGGCCCTTGTTTGTTCTTCCTTTTGACAATGAGGGCTCTCGTCCTCGATCATCACGCAGCACACAAGTTCAGAGGGTCCACTTTGTTCTTGTTGTGGCCTCTTAGGAACAACCTCTTACAACACAACACAACGGAACACACACACATGCACTCTCTCTCTCTCTCTCACACACACAAAAGTACTGTTGTAGATTCCCGCATTCATGTGGGAGATGGAACTTTATTCACTCGATCTCCATCCTCACCACATACGAAGTTTTGTTCCACTGAAATTATTCTCTCCTGCTTTAACTCCTCATCTTTTTTGCATGGAAAAAGGGAAAAAACCGGAAAAAAAAAAAAACTAAAGTGGGCTGTGAGAGATTCTTAATTGTGTGGATAGCATTTTGCAATCGGGTCCTTTAGCTTTTTGAGTTGGAAATTTTAGTCCGTCTCAAACATAGAAAGTAACACATTGCTCTTAGAGCAGAAGATCATAAGTTATGAAGTGCATATAATACGACAAGATCGTGAATGATGCATATTTTTGCACTCATCCATATCGTCCAAGGCACAGTAACTTTCGACTCAGCTCGATGTACTATGATACCGTTCACTGAACCAACGCCAATCTCACTTCTTTTTCTTGTTGTTGATAATAACAGAGGGACAAAGATAAGGATTGATATCATGAAGGCTCCAATACAATTGAGGCACTTTGAATTTTTTCTTTTCTCCTTTAGAAAAAAAAAAAAGATGAACAATTTACAATAATTTGTAGGAATCTCTGGACTGCACAGAGACACATGCAGTGTCTGAGCCTCCTGGTATGTAGGAATGGACCATTTTCTTTTTTCCACTGGCTCATCAGCATCATCATCTCCCACTTCTGCGAAAGGGCAAATAATACAGACCCTCTCATTGGTAGACAAGAGTCGATACAAAACCTATGATTGCTGCTGTTCTACTTGGTTCAACTCCTATTTTGTTCCCATGCCATGATTGTCAGCAATAATTTGTATAATTGGGCAGGCTACTTTGATGATTTTCGTTAGCATCAATTATTTTTCTCAGGTAGAACAAGGATTCGGGTTGAGAGATCATTCGAACCTTTCGCTTGCCTGTTTTTTCAAGAGAAGAGAGGTGTTATTACGATAACGGTCCATTAATACATGCTAAATCGGTTCCAGTTTGTGAATGCATTGCATGAGCTTCTTCGAAATAGTGCAAAATAATTGTACGGGCTCGTGATAAAAGTTTGAACTGTGTCATAAGGCTGCTCATCATCGATGAACCAAAGAAAATTTTCTATCTCATATTGAAGGGAAAATAAGTCTGTAGGGTTAGATTTTTAACCGTTTCGATAGCTTTTTCAAATTGGGTACTGCTAAATGAAAATTTTATTTAGCATAAGGCCGATAGATTGCCACATGTTTATGCCTATTTTCGTCATTACGTAAATTTATTTCTCAAGGTAAAGCATGAATTATTGTGTTGGATCAACTATATTTTCTGTAGTGTAAAAGAAACAGGAAATCAAGCAATGGTTGCCCCTGACTTATCCTCATTGATGAGCTGGGCACTTGAATTAGCATAATGAAGCTGGTTTAGTTGGTAGGAGACATCCTACATTCTAGTCCTAAATCTCAAGCTGTTATGAGGGTTCAAATCATCCAATTATCATATAAATGCCTATTCCTTGGAGAGTGATTGAAGGACAAAACCTACCCAAGAGAATATATAGCATGGTTCATACACTTCTTAATCACATCCCTACCACATGAATTTAATGATAATATGAGAACTAGAATATCATACAAGGTTTTGCCTGCATTCCCCCATGTTCCTTTTTTTTTTTTTAATTTTCTTTTTATTTATCGTTTTTACAAATTATAGCCCTGTAGGATTTGCACTTAGGTTGCCAGGGTGGCTCGTGGGCTCATGGCACCAATGAGATACAGTAAAAAAATCTGGAATTATCATCAGCATTGCATAATTGCATCGCTAACCTTGGCACAGTTAGAGATAATGCTCGACTTGGGATTTGAAATATTCTATTAAAAACTAAGTGATGTTTACTGCAGAGGGAGCATTTTGGGCTGTGAAATCCCAGAGATTCCCTATTCAATCTTCAAAAGTTTGACATGTGATAAAGAATGCATAAAATGACATCTTTATCTTGTGGAGTTCCAAGATTACAGCCCAATCATGTGTTTGCTTCATCTTATCCCCATTGGAGTCCTCCACGAAAGCCTCTGCAACACTCAGAATGACAGAGGAGCTGTTAGGCGCACGTGCCGTGGATGCCAGGGCACGTGGGTTGCCGATAGACTTTGAAAGCTAGAGCACTAGGCTTTATGGCTCCAATTGGTCCCCCGCTGCCCAAAGGATTCCAGCTTGTTTGAGCTGGTTATGAATTGAAGGTTAGATTTGATGTGGCAAAGGGTTGCCATGGATGCAACTATCAGTCTAATGGAAGAGAAGTTTGCTACATTCTTATTGACCCGACTTTTAAAAGCTTAGATTTATAGGGAAAAATGATATTCCCTAACTTGATATGATAGTATAGATAGTATAGATCATGTGACTTGAGGTTGAACTTCTGCACACTCTCGGTATTATTTCGTTTACTTATTTTCCTTTTCAAGTTATCTGTTCGATGTACTTATGATCACAACATGACTGCTCGAATGTCTAATTCAAAAGCTTAAGTTAATAGGTGGAGAAAGACCATGTGTTTATATAGAGCATATAAACGGGGTGCACGCGCACAAGAAAAAGGCGGATTTCGACTCTAATATCGTGTTAGAAAGTTCAAGCCAAAAACTTAAACAAATAGGTAGAGCGATAAAGAGTATATATGTCTCATTGTCAAGCATTGCGATATTTTTCAACATTGACCTAGATTTCATGTGAAGTTGAGAATGACATGTTTTCTCTGAAAATTTATGCTGTCTAATATAATACAATTTCTATTAATGATGGGTGGGATTGAAGGGTAATAACAGTTGAGGAGTACAAAGATATTTTAATGGACTCTAATCATCTTTCATTCTTTTCACCTTCCTTTTTCCCTCTCTAGTTAGGTGATTATGTTTTTGCATGATTTCGCAAGAGTCACAACGAAAATAAGAAGATGCGACTACACGATAAAAGTAATCATATTGGAATTGCATTGTAAGGAAAAAAAAAGAATTATCATCACATAAGACAAATTAAAATCCACATGAGATTTTGCCTTGGAAAATTAATCAGGGCTTTTCTAGGATCCTTGGTTTTCGGTTAAGAGGTAATCTCACCAATGCAAGGGAGCCGAAGATCTTATAGGGGCCATCATGGCCTGTCCCAATCCTGCTGAAAGGTCTACATCGATGCGTTTCTTATTTTAACGTGCTGATGCCCGTATGTCCTGTACCCCTAATTTCCTTCAAATCATTTTCTTCTTTAAGAAGAGAGGGAATACCGGATAGGTTTACAGGAGCAAGCTCCCAATTACCTGTTAAGCCTTTTAAAGACTTGCTCGGGTCCTACATAAAATACTCATTATGAAAGTATAAATAATTTAACTTTTTTTTTCTGAAAGTGGGCGATGAATGCGCTCGAAAGTCAATATCGATATTTCTCTAGATGCTACTAAGCTATTTTTTCCCAGAAATTTCGACTAAATTCAAAAAAAATTGTGGAACAATTCCACCTCCACCAAAAGCTCCTTCTTTTTTCCTTGTCTTTTTATGTTCTTGCAAGGAAATCCGTGACGAGAAAAAGTTTAGCAAATTTATGAAAGTCAACTCTTAGATGGGCGAACATGGACGGTCATGATTGAAAGAAGGACGATTGCTGCTGATCATTCCCACTCATGAAACCTATCAAGAGGCGTAGAAAAGCTCCGGCTCCGAGGATTGGTTGATTGGTTGAAGAATGTGACCGCATAATTGCGAGAAAAGCTTAACATATTCATATTATCACATGAATATATCTAATGCGATGTTGACTTTTGCCGAGCAAAATCCAACGCAATCCTCGAGTTTTCTTTGCCGTGAGCATGACCTATCATCATTTGAATTTTTTTTGGGGGGGGGGGGACAATTTATCATTGAATTGTACGTATTCGAGTTTAAAAAAAAATATCACTAAAAATTGCTAATTAGTACCCCACAAGAATTTTACGTAAATTAGTTTTCGTCTCGTGAAAAATTCAAAGTTGATAAATATGCTGTAGCTTACTTCTCGATTAAATGACGTATTGTTAAAGAAAAAAAACGACGTATTGTTGTATGTTTTCTGTGGCAACTAAGGGGAGTAAATTAGGCATGAAACTAGTTTCTAGATATTTCCTCGCCGATAGCTTTCGTGATTAAACAACATTTTATTGGACGGTGGTATGCAAAAAATGACTTTTCTTTTATCGGAAAAAAAAGACTCGTGAGATAAAGCGACAACATTAAACAGCTATTGATGAATTAAAGCATCTATTTATAGTTTGTCACGTTATTTTGTAAATAAAATAAGACGAGAGCTCATCACGGATGGTTTGATGGCTCGATCCATTGTTCTGGAGCCCATCACTCTTCTCTTATTTGGCAAACGAGATGTGAATAACCAATTCAATATGGGCCAAGCGAGTTTGGTTTCAACTTGAAAGTTTGGTCCTAGGACGAGAATTTTAGTAGCTAACTTAGTGCTGGATATGTCTTAATATAGCTTACAACCTAAACAGAACATGATTAAAGTAAACCTCGCCATTAAGGCGTTAAGCCAACTCGGGATTTCGATCTCTAGAGACACTTCATCGAGTTTGATTGCTCGCGCTCGACTTGCTTGGGTACATGGCGATTCTACCGTGTCTTCGGCGAGAAACGGATTGAAATTCTGTCCTAATTATTGATTATAACCGGTAATACTAGATTATATGGAAAAGTTAGATGTTTGAGTTAGTATCAACAGATATATTGAAAGTTTCTTTACACTAGACATATGTTTATGCTATCACTTGATACATCGGTTGGTAGGTTTTTTCCTTATTTTTGGGAAGATACTAGAGAGGTCAAGGTGTTATTAGTCACTGAGTGGTTGAAATTAGTAGGCCTCTTGAAAAATTATTAACAAGATGCGAATACTGCAGAGGTATTTCTAGAGGCTTAGAAATAGACCGGAGCGACATTGATAAAGATATGGTACTAGAGCATCTTCGAATTGGCTATTTGAAGATTATCTTCATCGGTGGTACATATGATTCGTCGCATATAATGCACGGCTCAGAATCGTGCATAAGGTTAAGCTATGCTCACACGATAGTGGGATTGACTACGAATGCTACTTCGAGTGGGTTATGTTACGATTAGAACATGAAGCCTGTCGCATCCAAACCAAGCCCGATCATTTTGCCAACCCTCTTTAAGGCGAGCTTTTAGAGTGATTAATTTTACTTCGACTATGGTAATAGTAATGGGATAATTAGGATCGTTGGGTCAATTCAATACATTTTTCACGTACAAACCCCATTTGCTTGAAACGAAGTTACGTGTGTCAACTTGCCATAGCAAAACAACTAACCCGTTTCTCATATTCTACCTACTCCCAATAATTATTAATTTCTTACATGTTATCACTTATCTTTAGACCAACTACAGTGGGAAGATGACATAAAAGCTGGCGACATCAATCTTTGCATTTTGTATTCGTGAGAGAAAGTTAAAAAAAAAAACGTCTTAACCTATTGCATTAGTACTAATTCAGTTTTAAACCTTTCATTTGGACCAATTCCGTCCTAAACCTTTTCATATTGATACCAGTTCGATCCATTTGGCCAATTTAGGTTGGAAATTGCTGACGTAGACGCCGGCTGTCTTACGTGGCACGACTGGCGATGACATGAAATTTTATAATAATTTTTTTTATTTTTTAATGTTTTGTGTTTTTGTTTTTTCCTCTCTTTTTTTCCTTTCCTTCTCCTTGCTTGGGCTGTGGTTGGTACCTGGCCATAGGTAAGGGCCAACAAGGGTGTCATGGCCCTCGCCGGCCATAGGTGAGGGTCGACCTTGCCCAGCCCATGAGGGTCCAACCCTCGCCCTATGGTCGGCGAGGGCTTCGCAGCCCTCGTCTGTGGCCGGTCGCCGGCCATGGCGACCGGCCACGAAGAAGGAAGGAAAAAAAAAACCAAGGGAAAAAAAGGGAAACAAAGAAAAAAATTATTAAAAATTGTCCACGTCAGCACTGGCCGTGTCACTTAGGACGGCCGGCGTCCACATCAGTGATTTCCGGCCTAAATTGGCCGAATGGACTGAATTGGGACCAATGTTAAAAGGTTTAAGACTAAATTGGTCCAATTGAAAGGTTTAGGGCTGAATTGGTACTAATGCAATAGGTTTAAAACTTTTTTGGTACTTTTCCCTACTCCTGATCTTCAGGGCTCGAGAAATTATTGCTTATGCTAATTTCATCAGATGAAACCAATCATAAACAATCTGATCCAAATAGCTTCTCATAAAGAAAACAACTCGTCACTCTCTTAATATCTAGTTCAAATCACCGGACTCAAGCATTCTCTTAGGACGACTTGCGTGCTCTTGTAATTACCGATTAATACATGACGATGTCGATTGTCGTTACAAGCACCGGGGATGAGTCGAGTGCTCGAAAAGCTCTAGAGACACTTCAATGTTAGGAGAAAAAAGATAACACATGGTGGCATATTAAGGTAATCAAACTACAAAAACAGAAACATGCGCTTTGTCTATCATTTGTTCACGATATGCTATTTACCCATACTACACAAGTGATTGCTTTTCCAACCATTTCTCATTTCAAAACAAGCGGAGAGGGGCCTTCTTCACCTCCAAGTTCTTCTCCATGATAGCCTCCAAGCTTGGTCTCCAGGCCTTCCCTGAGACCTGCCTGCTCATCATCACCATGTCATTGCTGCTCTCTAACATGATCTCCCTGAACTCCCCCACGTGCCTCTCCTCCGAATGTGCCTCCTTCTCCTCCTTCGACGAAACAGCTCTACCCGATGACGACGACGACGACGATCTCCGATCTCCGCTTGTGTGGCCATTAGCATCGGCGCACACCCTCGCCAGGACCGGCATGAATGCTGCCTTCGGCTTCGAGTTATAAGAATGCGACCGGAGGGCCGAGTTAGCCATCAACAGGAAGCGGCGCGACTCCTCGGCTGATAACGGGGGCAGCTTGTTGCCACCGCCACTGCTGCTGCCGTGGTTGTGCCTTTGTAGCTTGTTCGTCATGGGAAGCATGATGTAGAGTTTCTTGGCCTCGAGGGTCTTGTCGGCCGGTAGCGCGGTCGGCCGACGGGTCCCGTCAATAGCAGAGCGGAACTCCACCACCACATGCCGCGGGTGATCCAGCATTAGCTCGGCCACCGTCGGCGGGTCCTCAAACTCTCGGGTCGAGCCGTCGTATAGGAGGACTATTGAAGTGGGTCTAGGTTGATGGTGGGTCGATGCAAAGTTGCCCATGAAGGATAGAGAGAAAAGGAGAACAAGAAGATCAGATAGTCAGTCTAGATGTTATAAGAGAGAGCTGAGGTTAATAAGATTGATGGTGATGAATTATATGGAATATATGTATAGGAGGCGCTTGTTGGTTGAACAGCTCCAATCACGCGGAGGCAATAAAAAAAAAATAATTGTGGGACTTTTGTTAATTAACTTAATGATGATGACAAAATTAAGGTCGATTGGTTGAGTTGAACGCTCTCTCCACTTCTAATCCCTTTGGACATTCGATTTTTCCAATGCGGTTTTCAAGGGATTGGTTCGAGTGAGAATTCACGCATCACATCGAGAATCCCACACTAATAAGACACGAGAGCAGCATGACTTCGGATCGAACATTGACGAAAGCAAATCCCCGTGTTCCTGTTTGAAGCAGTAATTCAGTACATCGAACTGATTTTGATGTCTGAACCAGCTCAGGAGACAAATTGGAGTTGATCAATCAAATTATACTATGGGCAAGAAGAACACGGACCCAATTCCTGGTTCACACATGCCAATTACCTTCGCTCTTAAAAATCCCACTCGCACTCGAAAGAAAGAAAATTCATAAAAATGGACAAGCTAACGGTCTCTGCCTTGCCCCGGCTGAATGATGCCCCAAATCGTTACTCGAACAAGACGTTTAATAATCTAAAAATCGGTGGTGTTTCGCGTAGCAATGGGAGCACCGCAACGGTTAGTTACAAGACAGTGATGGGCTGATGGTCGTCCATCCTAACTACCAATGACGACAGTGGTGCTACGTACGTATGGAGGATGCACTTAACAGGGTTTTGTACGGTTCTCAAAGTCGGAAGCCGTTGAACAATTCTAACAATAAGCTGTCCGCAAAGATCAGGGATGCATAGAGGCCTCTTAAACTCATACGCAGTAGTCCTCGTGCTGGCTCGAACTTACGTTAACTCGGTCGGAAGTCTCGAAATGCACACTCCGGACTATAATCAAATCCTGTGACTGCATAAAATGAACTCTCCGTGATCATCCGCGTTTATCTAAGTTGGGGGCGTAACCAAACACTCCAACATGTTAACCACCTAAATGTGATCATTTAGGTCACTGTCCGCAGACCTAAAATGATGTAATTTAGGTTGGTGCAGGAGCTGCAATATAGAGCCAGGGTCTATCGAATGCTGTTCCGGAATAGGATTCGGGTCAGATTTAGTACCTCACGTACGACTCGTCTGGACACTATGGCCAAGTCAAATTCAAGTCACGAGAAATGAAGCTCCATTGAATTCCTAATCACGGCCATTCAATCTACAGGGCATTGGTGCCACACATCTACAAAGCATGGAAAGAACTCGAATCATGTATGAAATCCTCGGTGTTGAACCCATACATTGGATTTCATACCTGTCCAACGTATCATCATGCAATCATCGACATCGATACATTAAAAAAACAGTAGTAGTGTACATCCTACCTATTTGTTCTAAGTGAACCAGCAAAGCTCTGCCAATTAATCGAGAGCAAGACCCGAAGGGCCATGGAGATAAATGGAACCCCACAACTTCCATCCAAAGCTAATTACAGTTCCTTCAGTTAACAAAAGCTACCTGAAAGAAGGGTTAGTTTCTGCCTTGAGACATAACATGATTGAAAATGTTGATTCCCTACTTTCTGGCATCACTATATGAATCTAGGAATCGATGGCAAACCTATAGGGAAGCTACAGAATCATGGAATAGGTAGCCACAAGCACAACTACAAGTGCCAGAGAGAATCAACATAAATTCACCTTGCAAACATATCATGACAAGGTACATCCAACTTAAAACTGACTTAGAGTATAACAGGGACGAATATTTATATGTCATAGTGTGATCAAACTGGGGGCGTTTGAGAACAAGAGCACTTCGTCCAAACTATCCTCTAGTTGATGTATTGAGAAACCCACTTGAAACCATCTCCATACCCCATTTTGCGTACGATGCTGCACATGAATACTTCAAGCGGGCGAACATTTGAGTCCGCAAGGTTTACTTTTCCCTTGCCAGTTGTGAAGTTGGTCAGACCAAGGTGATATCGCAGCTCATCCTCCGAGGCAGCATAAGGTATGTCTATCTTATTTCCCAATATGAGAAATGGGACGTTGGCTAGGGCTTCATCAGAAAGAAGCGCATCTAATTCCTTCTTAGATTCTGCAAACCTCTCCTTGTCATATGCATCCACAAGGTAAACCACAGCATCCACCTACATAATGCAGAAATTAATCACATAACAAAAGCACGGGTATTGTTATGTAAGGAGAAAAATAAAAGTACAAAAGTTTTTGCCTGATGGAAGAGTACAAAGAAGTTGAACATGTCAAAGAAACAAGAAAATGATTGTAAGATCAGGAAGTCCTGTCTGTTTATTCTGCAGAAAGTTAGACAAACTTCATCATCCCTCCACCAATTTCAAGATTCCAAATCCATCCGCAGCATAGAACAAGGAACATTGCTACCCATGTACTTGAAGGGTCAAAACTCCCTGCAGGAGCACATTATATGCTATTTTCTTGCCGCTCAACATTCGTAAGTGCGATGTCACCGGTCCAAAATCCGTGACACGACTGCAATGCCCGTGACAAAACCTACTCCAACGAGAGTCTACTGACCAATCATTTTCTTAAAAATGAGGAAGCCCACCTAAATAGATAAACCCCTATCCAATAAAGTACCTCACTAACCACATGGACCCAGTAAGATGCTAGCCAAAACCAAGGTAGGAGGCCCAAACATGACATTATTGGCAGTTAGTGGTCTAAGGAAGCAAACCCATGTTGTGCGCCTAATCCACAAACGGACGCCCATTCCATAACCACTAAAGAGTTAATTGATCAAAAGAGACAATTTTGGGCTAATGCCTTGCATGAATACACCATCTTAACCAGGAGAAAAGGAATTTATGTCTTCTAACTTGATAACTTCTGGTCACTACATTTGGTAAGTTATTCCTTATCCAAACGAGATTCTAAAGCTTCTAAAAACGAGTTAACCACCTATGCACCCATAGTTTCCCTGCACCAGATATTGTCCACTCACCATCACCTAATCTTGCATGCTTAAAATTGGTTCCCACTACGCACAACAGCCATTGCCTGCTGTCTGGTAAAAGAGTGAAGATGTTCCCAGGACTAGTAGGACACGGATATTATCCACCATAAGTTAAGGACTGCGGACAACAGAAGAAGGGGGGGATTATCTTCAAACTAAGACCAGTGTCTGCTTTAGAAAGTTACAGAATGCATCATTGAACACATGTAGAAGGGATTTCACAACAGCAATGCATGGAGACACAAGTTATGCGGAAAGTAAAAACAAGGACAAAAGTCGTGACAGGATGTACAATCCCAAGCAGAAGCAACCATTCAAAGGCACTTCATCTTCTTGCATCAAGAGCATCATCCAAGAATTATTCAGAAGAAAAAAACACAAGTACTAGCAATATCACCCACAAAAACCATGTTCACTTCCAAAGGCAGTGGCCATGGACAACACGAAATTGCAGGTTGTTCGGTCCAAGCGTATGATAGCAAATACAAGTGAACGTCACTTGATGAAAGTATCGCAGCAATAAAAGGTGAGCCCAACAGAAAAAAAAAAAAAGAGGCGGTGCCTGCCAATGGCAAGTCCAAAAACCAAAAGTGGATCAAACAATATTTGTGCATCAACAGGACCGGACAGTAACGTGGGTTCAGCTCCTACAGCATAAAAATCCAAGTCCAAGGTAGCAACTACAGCTTCAGAGGGGGCTACAGTGCAGACACTTCTCAATTCGACTGAAGTACCTCAGCCCACAACATCAAAAGTGCAAAGCAAACTCTCAACTCGCATCCGAGCATACCTTGGCATAATAGTCCTTCCACACCCGGCGAGCAATCTGATGGCCACCCAGATCAAAAGCTTTGAATTTGATTTTCCCGATACTCAATTCTTCCGAGGTCGGGTACTGGGTGGGCTGGTGCTGAACCAATCTCTAGAATTCAAACAATCAAAAAGCATCCCATCAATAACCGAGGCCAGAAACCAACCTGGTCATTACTCGCCTAAAATGACTCCATTCCAAAGACAGCGCCAAACATAATCAGAGACCATTACAATCATCATTACAAGAGACTAGAGTCGACCCAAGCAAGAACGGAACCGATTAGAGTTTGGAGAAATTGGACGAAATAGAGGGAGGGAACCTCATCTTTGAGCATGTGGAGCAACGTGGTCTTGCCGGCATTGTCGAGCCCTAGGAACAGTATCTTGGCCTCCTTCTGCCATAGACCGAGCGAGGCCAAGACGCCATAGAACCAATCCAGCAGAAACATGGCTCCCCGACGCTCGCACGGCTTCTTGAGGGAGGGAGGGAGAGAGAGAACCGAACCAGATCGTCTACCTCGAAGCAGACGCCGATGGACTCACGCCGCCAGATTGTAATTCGGCGACAGAATTAATAATCGATACATAAAAAAGAAATTTACAACAAATGGAAAAGAATTAAGTTGTAGTGAATATGGGGACCCTAAGGACAGTGACGATGGCGATGCATTTTCTTCGAAGAGAGACGGAGAGAAAAATATTCTCGGGAAAATGGACGACAAATGGTTTAAAATGTAGGAATTTCGCTTAGGGGCGAGCAATTTTAAGTTTTTCCAAGTTGCACTTGAAACCTGGAATCGGAACATGTTCCTTAATTTTTGGAACTCGAAACTTATTGTGCATACCTAAACTCCAAAACCTGTAACATGGTAGATTCTAGGATTTATTCATGTTCCACGTATATTTTTAATTGAACGATTACAGTGAATCATCGTCTCTTCATCTCTAATGACCACTATTTGCTACGATGCATTGATTACAACTTATATTTAGACACACGAAAAATATGACACATTAACAAAGTAAAAGTTTCAGTCATGGATACCGTCGGAAATGGAAACTCATACTGGTGGTTTTAGATTACACATTCATCAATGGATGCCATGGAATGCTGCAAGAACGAGCGAAAACACGGAATTAGAAAAACACAAAGACTTGTTTCAGGTTTCGTCCGAAGCTTGAAACCTATATGTCGAAATAAATTTCCCAATTTTTTGAAGATGACACCTACGCTGCATATCAAGAACCGATCCGATTTTCAGGTTCGGTTTTACCTAGAAACTATGCTCACTTCTAGTTTCACTGTTGTATGAGCTCTGAGCTGGATCTGGTTTTCCCTACTGAGCCCGTAATGGGCCGATGGGCCTAGAGTGTTAATTGGGCTTTGACTTTCGCTGACTTTTTCGAGTTCGATTGCCCATTGGATTGGATTCCGAGCATCTCTCAGTAGGCTTAATTCGTTTCAAGGTGTTGCAGATTCTTCGTAGTTCAACGATAAGGGAGACTCAGTACTTTCTACCACGGACTTTCCGAGAACGCAACGTGCCAAGTTCGACTCCGAAAATCACAAACAAATTCCATAAGCTGTTTAGTTTGGATATTCCACATTTGCATTATATATTCTGTGGTATAAAAGCAATCAGCCTCGATACCTCCGGTCGAGTACATCCATCCATCCACAGACTACACAAAACTCCTTCCACAAGGCAAGCTGTACATGGCTTGTTTAATACACTGCGGGAAGTCAAATCCCGACGCCAGTAAATGCCTCCATAAAAATCTTGAGAGATTGTTGCCAACCAATAAAATTTACAATGGGAAGGTCGATGGGTGCAAGATATCCTAGAACTACCAAAACTTGAACCAGGAGTTCCGTGCACGTGGAATGACTAATCTTGCCACATCACCGTTGCCGTATGAGTAATTTTGACTCGTGTTGCAGCTTCACTAAGGAATCAATGAACTTGGTATCAGATGATTCAGAGTCCACCGATCGCGCAACAAGTTTCATCAATTTTTGCATAAAAAGCACCATCTCGTTTTCTGAATATTGGGTGCAGGACTGCTGTGGAGATCCCTTCGTGTGCCTACCGTACGAATGCTCAAATTTTCTTGATCGCGAAGCTGCTTTTTGAAGGATGCATTCAGGAAGTCCTGCGAATAAGCAGAGTCTAAGAACCAGTAGTACACAGTCCAAAAGCAATCCGATCAGGAGCAACGTTCACTGAAAATGCCAGTTACAAGGACAAAAAAAAAGGACAGAGACATGAATGTGGCCCGATTACTTGATGCTAGCTCACATCCTTAGTGCATTAACCGCACAAAGAAGTGTCCTTCAGGCCAAAAAGATGCACATTGCAGTGGCAACTGCAATTTTGTGCCAAAGCGATCAAATCTTACAAATATTGTTAGAAGGCGTGACTAAATATACTTGTCGGCAATACAATGCCGCTAGTAACTTTTGAAATCAACTAAAAGAACTCAAAACACCAACAAAGGATAGCAGAATAACTTACCAGCTAAGCGTGCCACATTGACTCCATAGCTTTTGGGGCATGGACCAGGTGTCAATCTATAAAGAAATGTGACCTCTTGTATGCCATCAGCTCCATCTCCCACTTGGCACGCCATATGACAAAGGGAAACCTGAACAAAACACCAGAGGGCAATATACAAAAAAAATGACATGAATGATCAGCAAAAGAATTGACAATTTTCAACCTTGTGAACCCTTATTATCAATATTGTATGTGCTCATACCCCAGCTGAATGCGAATTTCAATCATCACTTCGATATAGCACCATAACCATTAACTAAATCAATTATTAAAGAGAGGACATACCCCAGGATCATTCCTATAGTTCACAGCTAAATGGTGATAATGAGTAGAAAACATTCCTAGACAGTGCACCTTGTGGACGAAATGGTCCAAGACAGATTCCCTGCATGCAAATACAATAGGAGAACAACGCAAATCTGGTCAACATATTTGACATGTTTCTCAACGACACCAATAATAAATGTGAAACACGGAAAAACATGGAAGCAAGGATAACCCTCTTGAGGGACACGACCGACACTTACGCAATGGCCTGTCCATCTGAGGTCGAGGTCCCACGTCCCAGTTCATCCAATGCCACCAAAGAATAGCGAGTTGCCGATGACTGTAGACAAGTGAAGATACATAAGCTTTAGAATATATTTGCACAGTTCTTTTCTTATCCTAACATTTCTTCTTTGGGCAGCAGAATGCAGTTCAGTCAGCTGAAAGTCAGAATTATCTAGAAAAATAGTGAAATGTGCAGTAACAAAAAATATGTAGTCATGCAACGAAAGTCATGAAGCAAGATAACGAAGATAGTACACACAGATCCAAGATCAAGAACATATCAAAATTAAAATATCATACAGCATACCTCATTTATAAAAGTGACATGCAACTAGAATAAGCAACACTATGTGAGTTCTCTCTCAAAAGTCATACCAGCATTGATGCAGTTTCGGAGAGCTCAGTTAAAAATGTACTTTGCCCTGCCATAATATGATCCTTGGCACCCATGCGGACAAAAATTCGATCCACAGGCGACAGTTGAAAACTCTCAGCAGGTACATCTGCTCCAATCTGCCAAAAACCCTCTTAGGAATAGAACTATGAAACACTTAAAAGTAAAAGCACAGAAATCTACCTGTGCCAAAATCACAGCCAAGCAAACTTGTCGGAGCAAGGTTGACTTTCCACCCATGTTAGGACCAGTGAGAAGGATAAAGCTAGCATTAGCAGAACCACCAATATTGACGTCATTGGGGACAAAGGTACCTTTGCCCAAGGAATCACTTCTAAGGATAGGATGCCCTAAGCACTTGGCAGATAAGCATGGCTCTTTACTTGAATCAGAAGAGACTTTGAAAACTGGACGACATGCTGGTCCCTCATAATAGTCACTTGCAATTGCTAAACTGATCAGAACATCTATCTCTGCAACATGCAACAACCAATTTCAACATTGCTCTGCAAGTATCCATAGAAAAACGAAAAGACACATTTCATTGTGCCTCCCTTTCAAAATCACAAGGATGACCATGATTGGAGAAAGTGGTATAAAAATTTTTGCAGATTAAGAATATATGCAACACAAATCAAACATCCTCAAAGCAAATTAGTTTCTATAAACCTGCGGTTGAAGAAATTAGTTGCCTCCACTTGTCTTGATGCTCACAGAAGCGTCTAATTAGTCTGTGCAAAATACTCTTCAGTGCAGACTCCTTTTCAGATTCAGCTTGGGAGAGCTCGCTTACAAGCTTCTTAATTTTGGGGGTCCAATATCTAAAGAAACCCTGCATATTCCAAAGAGTCGGGCAAACCGATTCACAAACATGAACATATTATTAGTCAACCAAACACATGAAATGCACAGTACAGTACAGTATACCAAACAGAAAAACATATAGGTAATCAAATTACCTGCAGCATACAATAGAAATGCAGATGTTCCCCAGTGCTCTAGGTCTTGAGATCATTTAATAAGATTAGCAATTCAGACTATGCAAATCATGTTCACCTACTCTTTTGCAAAAATCTAGAGTCTGGGGAGTCATCCTCTGCCACAGTTGAAATTTCACTCATAAGTTTTTCATTTTTTGATAGGTGAAAAAAATCATTCATATTTCTCGAGGTCCAATTTCACTCACAATTTTTTCTTCCTTTTAGGGCAAATCGTCACTCTTATTAAAAAGTAGGAACCAAAAAAGACAAGCATAGATCGATTACACACTGGAGCAGATTGTCATATCGCAGCTTATTGTTTGTGAGAGGCTTGTGAGGTTTAATCATTTTCCTTTCAAGAGACAAAACTATATTGTTGAGGCACTTCAAAGATGAACTAGAGCAGAATCTAGGATTGTTAGAACAAAGAATGAGGGAAGCAAGACTCAAATTCTACCCAACTACATCCTTTAAGATCTTATCCTTTGATGACCTTATTGCAGAAATCAATCCTCCTTCATTGGAGGGAGGTGACAATAACTATGCTACTTCAACAGTAAGGGGGGAGGAGTGTATGCTTTTGGAAAATGAAATTGACAATATATTCTATAACTTTGACTTCAACTCGGGCATGATAAAGTGCATTATGCTGAAAATTATATTTGTGTTGCTTGTTGTTAGAGAAGAACCCAATCATCAACCAGTGCAAGCAATCACTTGGTAAGCGCCGTAGTATTAGAAGAAGGCACAGCTGGCAATTCGTTTTCACATGTCATAGTCAGGTTTTGTAATCGTGTCAAGTCGTGTCATTAGTAAGCACTGTATTTTTGTTAATTATACTACAGAAGTGTTAATTCATGTCAGAAATTGCCAGCCCAATCTCCATACCTGATTTAGTGAGCTATATTTCCTTTTCCAGCTATCCTAGAACTTGTTACTGAATCTTAAATTCATAATGTGCTTTATTCAACGTTACAATCCACACCTTAAAGACCTTCCCTGTTCACAATATTAGATTCTAACCAAAATGGTTATACTTCCTTAAAGTCAGGACCTTATGATTCCTGACCAATGACTGTAAAATTCTTCATTCTATTATTTTTCCAGCATGTATATAAAACAAACAAAAGCTCAGTATGCTCAGCAACAAAGGCCGTTACCTTCTTAGATGAACGCAGTTCATAATCACGAGGAACTTTTCCACGCAAACTTTCAGGCACTTCAAGTAGGTATGCCTCTTTCCCAACAGTGACATAAGTTATCTGCATTCAAACATTGAAGAAAACTTTGTCTTTTGTACATTCAACCTATGAGGCAGACTTAAAGAAACTAATTCTAAAAGTGCTCTCCAGATTCTTACTGAAGTCTCCCCAAGTAATTTCCTCTGCTCCTTGAGGTGTTTCATCAAATTAGACTCAATTTTCTTGATTTTATTACAGGCAGAGTCATACTCTATGTCAACTCCTTCACGAGGTATGATTCGTCCTGAATTGCTGGCTTCAACCCAATCGAAGGCATCCTTAAAATGCCTCAGAATTGAACTGACCTCCGGGAGACCCTTCCCTGCATGAAGATTAACAGATGAGATGCCAAAAAAATTTCTGTAATAAAATGAGAATCTTCAAGCTGGTACCAGGTGTTAACAAATGAACCAGTTGTCTTGACTCGACGTTTTCCAATATAACACCAAGAGAAGAAAATGCCTCAACCAATAATTCACAGCCACGTAAAACCGATATAAATTCTTGCAGCTGTTTTTTTGCTGCATCTTCATAGAGGATTACTTTATTTGCATTTCTTCCACAAGCTTCACTGCAAAGGACATGAAAACAAGTCATAAGGAACTGAAGTCCTGCAGGTCCAAAGTAATTCAGATTAAAATGCGTGACCACATCATCTGAAACTATACCTGCTAGAGAAAACGCGCGCAAGCAAGCGCTCCATATCTGGAAGCCTCAATAACACTTTCCGAAAATCCAATGTGAAAGGTTGATTTTCTCCCTGCAGAATATTAACCGACACCAAGGAAAAAACAAAAAGCATTTAGAACCAATAAAAATCCACTCAAGTCCAACTTAACCCACATGATATAAATAAGAGACACATCTGGAAGTAATCCCTTCTATATATGCACGAAAGGCACCCGCCCTATGTAAATGAAAAAGCAGCTATGGTATTTAGCACCCCTTCCAATCCAGTCAACATCAGAAACATATAAGATAAATCTAAGTTAATGAATGACTGATATTATGACCAAAAAGGGAAGAAACTGTTCTTATCACCGGTTTGCTAATAGAAGACAAGTGGCGAATCAACATTAACTACTTCAAAGAATTCCTCCTTTTTTTTCCGTCGTATAATTGATTCCTTTCTTATTATTTATGTTTATCTATTTATTTATGATAATTTTTTTGCAGTTTTGTGGTAGTGGACAAGGGAGAGAACGTAGTAGAAAAGGTTCAACCAACAGGAAGTCTCATAAGATGCAATCCTCCATAGAAGTGGGTAGATAAAATGTGAAAACATGGGTATACTAATTATCAACCAAGAAACAGAGATTCCAAAGAAGCAAAAGATGTCCCTGAGCAAGCAGAGCAATTTAGAACAAGGAGAACCAAGTAAAGCAGCCGAACAAAGATGTCCACGATGGCTTACTCATTTATAACAGGTAAAGGGGGAAAAATGTAATTCTCATATACAAAAAAAGTGAAGAATACCGCAATTTTGTAATTTGGAAAGTAATCAAACACCAATGCTGGTATCAAGAACTTACCTTAAGATCAGCTATGGCATCTTGGCGCTCTTTAATTCCTTCCAGATGATACAAAGGTCTTGCTAGCCATGTTTTAAGAAGCCTCTTGCCAAATGCAGTCACACAGTGGTCCAGTTGTGCAAAAAGTGTCCCTGAAGACCCTCCATTTCTGCCATTCTCATAAACCTCAAGGTTCTCCAATGCAGCAGCATCAAGAATCATATGCTTTTGAGCAACATCACCAAATCCAGAACATGAAAGTGACTCAAAATTTGCAAATTTAAGCAATGTCTCATCCAGGAAGGCTTGTTTCAGGTAATAAATGGCACCTCCGAGGGCTGACAATGCAAGATTATGATTCTCACCAGAATTCACCAGCTCAGATAAAAATTCTGGGAGGTTGTGCAAGCCATCATTTTTAAAATGAGAAGCGGCAGTCTCAGTATCTGTTTCATCTGAACTTGCAGAAGATGATCGACCATTGATACTCTTATAAATGGTCCTTAGTTCATGAACTGTCTTATCAGCATCCCAAAATTCTAAGACTGGAACCAACTCATTCACCAGAGGATTTCGAGTATGAGTCAGTAAAACCCTCTCAGTTTCAGCACTTAACCCTTTAGTGGGTTTAACAATTTCTACCGGGCGTACTTCAGATAGCAGACAGCATAAAGCACTGCATTCTGAATCATCTTTGAACTGAAAAGAGAGGCAGATGAATCACACATCAAACCATGGCACAATTCTACACCATACTGGGATATATGGCATCTAGAAAGACTATAGATAGCCAATCACTCTATTGAATGATCCAACAATGGCAACTTCATACATAGAGAACTACACCTTCAGGTAAAGTCAGTGACAATGGTAGGTTGGTTCTTAGGCCTAAACCCCAACTCATTAGTTATTGTTTTGCCAAATCCCTTCCAAAATATAATTAATGAACCAAAAAGATAACAACGAGCAAAAGATACAAGTTTTGAGATCACAAAAAGATCATGTCAAATCAATGAACCCTGCTTCTAGAGGTAATGATCATTCATGGGAACTTAATTTCCTAAGCTGACATGATATATAAAGTGGGTGGAAAGATTCAGGATCTGTTAACAATGTCACTGATGCACAGATGACCGATTTCTTTTTCTATATTAAGATACCATTTATGGTAAAAGTCATCATGCAGCGCCAAACACTTCGATCGGTTAAGTTATCATTCACTTCTATTGTTCAAAACTCAAAGAATGGCTACAAGAGATCTTCCATGCCATTCCTCTTTTCCCATACACATGGGACAAAGCAAGAGGTTAGTTAGGTCACAGGCAGTGACAAGCGGAATTATGAGCGCACAGCAGCTAATTATCATTCTCATACACTAAATTTTGTTACATAAACTCAATTAAAATACAAGCACAGATGGCCATGCCAGTAGCCATCCATTTCCTGAACATATTCCATGCTTGCAAAGGCGAAAGGAAAATCTGCACAGAGAAACCATCACTGGATGAACAAAAAAAGTTAAAGCAAATGGAGCCAACCTGACCAAGAGTAATCCTACTAGTAGCAGCATCCACCAAACACACACCAAGAGTCCGCTCTGCCTTTTGGTCTGCAAGCATTTGACAGCTTTCAGTCACTGCCATCAGATAAGAAGCTTCAGGATTCGCTGAAAGCATTTCTCCATCGGTCAGAGTTCCTTTTGTGATCACTGCACATATTTCACGTTTTACGACCTGTAAACATGTGAACAGACCATCATCCATCCAACTGTGACGGTTTCCACGGATTGTTTCACATCAAGTAACCTAGCAAGATCTCCAATGACAAATTGCTTCATTAATGAACTTAACCGCCCAATAAAATGCACCCATACAAGAACAAAGCACGCTTGCTTTGACTGGTGACAGTTATCGTCTTAACAGGGAACTCTATAGGAAACTATATAATCTCATAAAGAGACAGGACATTATACTGAAGGCATATATACAAAACCATTCATGCTCACAAGTCAAAGTAATCAACCACAGTATTAAGGTTATTATAAGGTTATACTCGGACATCTTCATCAGTGAAAAATAATCGGGCACCAATTAGGAGCTCAAATAACTATATGATTAACCTCTTCATAGATGAGATGACATAATTTAACAAACGCTAGCCAAAGGAAACAACAGGATGCATTATTTTGGTAGTAGACAGGCAACCTTATCTTTTGAACCCTGTTCCTTCCGGCGAAGCTCAAGTTGTTCAGGTGTTTCCGTCTGCTCTGCGACGAGAACTCGATAACCCTGCTTAGCCACAGAACTTTAAGTAAAAATCATCATCCATAGCTTGAAAACTTAATCACCAGAAACTTCAACAATAAACTATATGCAGAATAAAGAAACCTTTCTGGCCAATTTCTCCACGTTCATAGAGAAGTTCTTTTCTGGAAATCCACAGTGCGGTTGCTCTCCCTGATTCAGTAGTTTGATTGATATCAAATATAGAATTACCAGAAAATAACCAACGATTGCTTCCAACCAGATGATCATAATTTCTGATAATCAAAATGAAACATCCATTCAAAAGTGAAGGCAAGCAGTGCAGCAATACAATCAATCAATAAGGAATGAGTACTTAACAAGCTTTACCTTCATGTACTGTAAATCAAGCTCTTTGGCTCCTACATGTGCATCCATTTCGAAAAGTTCGTAAAACTTTCCCATCTGCTCCAGCAAAGAGAATGTTCACTTTCTGATAATACTGCTAACCGTGATAATTAAAGGAATGCATACCTTGAAAAATAAGACTTTGTCCATATGCTTGGACTTAAATTCCCACCATTGCCTCTGCATGATTACCAGTCAAATAATCAAAAAAGAAAACATGAAAGCATGGTAAGGGAAAGCTGGCTAAAAAAAAAGAAATACGGTAAAAGAATGTGGACCAGTTCCTATGTGAAACACATCATATACCTGGCCACCCGATAAACTCTTGAGGAAATCTGGAGGCAAATAAAGAGTCCTCGGATCAAAATCCATATCCCCTGGTCGTCTTCTTTTTGCATCCCTCCGTTCTCTATGTCAAGGTCAAAATGATTTAGGACGGCATTCATAATAAGTTAAGTTGAAACTCCATCAAGGAAAGGTGCAAAGAGATATCAGTATTATTGTGACAAATCATTTTTTATTTTTTTCAAACTTGCCCCCATAGGATTTCATCTATGGATACCTTATCAACGAAAAACAACCTAAAGACAGAATGCATCAAATACCATCATCAACAAAAGCTTTTTCCAGCTTCCTATCACGTCTGATACATAATAAAGTTGATGCATTGATAGACTTGAAAAAAGGAGTTTTGCCAATGAACTAAGACTTACGGTCCAAGAAAGCACAGCTTTTCAGCTTCCCGGATACTAAACCTTTCTGAAGCATCAGTTGGCAAGGAAGAACCAAGACCATTCGTGGTTTTCTGGGCTGTGGTAGAGCATGCTGGAATTAAAAAAGAATGCTACATAAGAAACTATATCTCATAATCGGCATATTTGGATAACTAACTTCAAACCTAGCGGCTTGTTATAGGTAGTGATTATATCAACCGATAAGCCATCATAGTTCCTGATTGCATCAACTGGTAACTAAAAAGGCGAACACCGCAACATGTTCAAGAGAAAGACTAGAACAGAACTAGTGAGATCCATGCCAGGTAAATACAGATCAATCTGAGAAACACCATCACCATGAACAACCACGGAAACTGTGAGGTCAACATAATTCTATACTTACCATTGAACTTATTTTCTGTAACCACCACCGAAACTTTAGAACCCTCATTGCAAACACCACCACCGGTCTTATTCTTCTTAACAGACCCCGACTTGCTTCCTTCGCCGACCTTCCTCTTCCTCGTGTGAGACTTACCAGTGCTCTTTTCATCGGCATCCTCCTCATCGACGAACTCCGCCTCCATATCCTCATCCTCCGCGTCCTCCACCGCCTCCTTCTCCGCGCTTTTCCCCCAATCTTCATCGCTCGAGTCATCCTCCCAATCCTTCCCACCCTCGTCGCTTTCCACATCCTCCACTACCTTCTCCGGGACCACTGCACTGCCCCCGCGCCGTAACCGCTTGAACTTCTTCGCGCTCTCCTCGATCCACTCAATCCTCTCCTTCCCCAAATCCAGCAACTCCTCCTCGGCATCGTCGTACTGGACCAGGTGCTTGCCGCTCCCCTCGTCGAACGACTTGACGCAGCCCTCGTACCAGGCCCCGTCCAGCGGCCAGTACACCCTGATCCTCCTGCGCAGGACCTCTCGGCCGAAGGGCTCCGGAGCGGCGGCGGCGGCGGCGGCGGCCGAGGGGATGACGAGAGGGGTCTTCTTCCGGGGCTTGAACTGGACAGGGGAGGGAGTGGCGGGGCTAGGGCTAGGGCTCGGGCTGCCGTCGGGATCGGAGGGCTCGCGGAGGCTAGGGTTAGGGCGGGGAGTGGAATCGGGATTCGGGAGAGGCGAGGGAGCGGCGGAGGAGGAGGCGGGTCTGGAGGAGAAGAAGGAGGTGATCTGGAACTGCTTGTTCACGAGCGGCGATCGGATGTTGCTCTGGCGGCGAGACGGCGCCATGTAGAGAGAGAAAGAGAGAGAGAGAGAGAGTGTGTTTGAGTTGAGCTATACGTCGATCTCAGCAGTTCACAGAGGAAGAGAAAAAGGAGAGTCGTGGCGGGAATTTGACGGAGCGTCCCCGGGAAATGTCGCCGGCGCGGATTGTGTATTGGCGGGAACTCCAGCTGACAATGCGCGCGGTCGGGGTTGCCCGTTCATCGAGCCCGACAATATTTGTTTTCTTTTTTGCTCTTAATTTCTTTTTGTCGCTCTTTTATATTTTGATTGAAGTTTTTCTTTGATTTTTTTTGTTAATTAAGACAATAACTATTGCTATCAATTACTAAGAAATCACTTCTAGCAAAAAAAATTACTAAGAAATCACACTTTTTTTTTTCAATTCGAACCCCCAATCTCCCTTTCGCGTAGGAGGGGAGGTGTCGTTAACACAGCTACCTCCAACTATGTTTATTGCAGTTATATTTATTAAATTATTTCCTTAAATTTTCATTATGTACTCGCTTTTTTCATAACACTTTTTATTTTGATTGAATTTTATCATTGCACTTGATAAGTCCACAATCGAACGCAAATTCCCTTGCCCATTTATAAATAATGACATGAATTGGACTCAATCTTCTGTCTTGACTTGTCTTTCGTTAATCTTTACATAATATCATACTCGAAAATCACGGAGATAATTAACCACACTTGACCTTTTTCGACTTTATCGAATGACTTCATTTTTAATTGAAGGTACGTAAATCTACAAAACGGACTCCATGGACTTATTTATTTTAGATTCATTGAAATAGTTTCAGGTGCCTTCCTTCAATTTAATAGTCCATATATAATATAGAGAAAATTTCAAATAAGGATGTAAAGTATATTCATTTTTTCAAATAATGATATGAAGTGGATTTTATGTTAAATAAGGGCATGAAGTGGCATCTCAGTATCAAATAAAAATCTGAAGTGACCAACCACCCCTTGCCCAACCCTTTCCAGGCTTCACTGGTGGCGGGGCATTGGCAAAGAACAAAGAGAAAAAGAAAAGAAAAAAGGAAAAAAAATTCAAAAAAAAAAAAAAGACGAAAATGGCTTTACTATATAGAAAGTCATGCCCTTCTTTGAAATAAACATAATCATTTCATCTTATTTAAAAAAAATTCATTTCGTTTTTATTTGAGAAAATGATAACACTTCATATCTTTATTTTACACAAAGTCCACTCCAGCCCCTTATTTGAAATTTTTCCTCACTACATTAAGTGATTTAAAATTGAGCATTTATATAAGAAGTATATCTATAGAGGCCCCGTTTAGTTCAGCATTTGAAATGCTCATTTGGGCTCTAAAGTTCCTTGGGCAAATGTAAATGGTGTTTGGCAATTTTTTTTACTCACTTTGGGGAGATGGAATTGCATTTAGGTTCGGTGAATAATTTTTACCAAACGGTATTTAGGCCAAAGTTACTTTTGAATGTGATTTTAAAATACACATTACTAAATACTATTTATATTTCGAAAAATCTTTTAACTTAAAGGTCTTTGCATTTTACCTAATATATTTTTCAAAAGCCGAACCAAACGAGTACCGTCAAATACTTTATTAAACCACAGGTATGTTCGCTAAAAGCAACTTTACCAAAACCTTTTCGCTTGTCAGTTGTCCAGTCCCACTGAGTACCCACCGCCACCAAGCAGCAAAGCACCAACCGAACCACCGCCGTCGCCACCAGGCACCGGCAAGCCACCACCCGCTTCCCCTCGAAGTCTTCATAGCTCTCTTCCCACTCTCACCCCTCCTCCTTCAACCACACTCCTCTTGCTTCTCAGCTTTCATGGCAGCCCAATGCATCGCGCTCTGAGAAAACCCGTCTCTCCGCTTCGGCTTTCGCAGCTCCGGTTCTTTTCTCCGATCCGCGACCTCCATGGCTCCGTCCGCAGCGACTTCGCCGCGGACCCGTGCTCTGTCCATAGCGGACGACGACGGCCGCCGCGACCGGGAGACCCAGAAGGACGACTTCGCCGAGAGCAAGCTGGCGGTGCTTCTCTGCCCTTGTGTCTTCTGCGTCGTTCTGCTCCTCGTCATACTCTCCGTCCTCCTCACCGTCAAGTTCCACCTTTTCTGCCACACCCCTCTGGGTTCGCTAATTTACAAGAAGAAATGCCATTGACGCCCTCCAAGGCCGTCAATCTCGCGGGTTCGCCGTACGCGGGTGCCTATTGTAGGGAATTTTGTAGTGTTGGGGATAGGGGTGTTGATTCTGACGATGAAGAAGTCGATGGCGATGATGATAGTGAGGGAGATGGCGTTGGAAATGGAGGGGCTGGAGCGGAGACTCGGGCAGATCGGGCCGAGGTTGATCGTGTATGCAAGGTGATCGACGAATTGTTCGCGCTGGATCGGAACATGGAGGCGGTGTTGGACGAGTGCGGAGTCATTTTGAGTCACGATCTAGTGGTCGATGTGCTGAAGCGGTTCCGTCATGCTAGAAAACCGGCGTTCCGGTTCTTCTGCTGGGCGGGGCTGAGGCCCGGTTTCGCCCATGATTCGAGAACTTACAATACGATGATGGACATTCTTGGAAAGACAAGGCAGTTCGAGACTATGGTGTCTATGCTCGAGGAAATGGGGACCAAGGGGCTCTTGACGATGGAGACATTTACGATCGCAATAAAGGCTTTTGCTGCTTCTAAAGAGAGGAAGAAGGCTGTTGGAATGTTTGAGCTTATGAAGAAGTATAAGTATAAAGTGGGTGTTGATACTATTAATTGTTTACTCGATGCCCTTGGTCGGGCAAAGCTTGGAAAGGAGGCACGAGCGCTTTTCGAGAAGTTGGGGGAGAGATTCACACCGAATTTGAGCACTTACACAGTTTTGCTTAATGGTTGGTGCAAGGTGAGGAATTTGATGGAGGCAGGGAGAGTGTGGAACGACATGATTGATAGAGGATTTATGCCCGACATCGTTGCTCATAACACGATGCTTGAAGGGCTTTTGCGGAGCAAGAAGAGGTCGGATGCCATTAAGCTTTTCGAGGTCATGAAGGCCAAGGGACCATCGCCTAACGTGCGAAGTTATACGATTATGGTTCAAGACTTTTGTAAGCAAGGTAAGATGAAAGAAGCTGTTGAGTACTTTGATGAGATGGTATATAAGGGGTGTCAGCCGGATGCTGCCATCTACACATGTTTGATCACAGGTTTTGGAAACCAGAAGAGGATGGATATGGTGTTTGGATTGTTGAAGGAGATGAAGGAAAAAGGTTGTCCACCAGTTGGGAGGACCTATAACGCTTTAATTAAATCGATGACCAGTCGGAAAATGCCGGACGACGCAGTCAGGATATATAAGAAGATGGTTCAGAGTGGCATTGAGCCCACGATCCATACTTATAACATGATGATGAAGTCTTTCTTCACTACAAGAAATTACGAGATGGGTCGTGCAGCGTGGGATGAAATGGGCCGAAAAGGGTGTTGTCCTGATGATAATTCTTATACCGTGTTCATTGGAGGGCTTATAAGTCAGGGAAGATCAGAAGAGGCTTGTACATACTTGGAGGAAATGCTAGAGAAAGGAATGAAAGCTCCTCAGCTCGATTATAACAAGTTTGCCGCAGATTTCTCCAGAGCTGGGAAGCCTGATATTCTTGCGGAATTGGCTAAAAAGATGAAGTTTTCTGGCAAGTTTGAAGTTGCAAATGTCTTTGCAAGGTGGGCTGAGATGATGAATAAGAGGATCAAGAGAAGAGACCCTGTTAAAACCTGATGGCTTTGTCCCCGAGTAAGCCAAATTCTTGGGCGTGGCGGATATTAACAAGCAGCGTGAAGAATTTTCTGTTTGCTCCTTGTTTTGAGCATGAGTTTCATGCTAAAGGCGGCGGCAGACTGCCTTATTGTTTCGTGTTGTATTGCTCTACATGTAAATTACTGATTCCTTTTTTTGAAAGGAAAGGGTCCTTTTTTCTTTGTTTCCTAGCTGCGTGAAACCATACGATTTCCGCCATTGTAGCATTGTTGATTCATCTGCTATGCTTCTTTAGGTCAGATTCTGACCAATGCGTTTGTCTTCGTTAGTCTGTTATTTTCTTTTGGGATTGTCTAATGGGTTGGAGCAATCACTGGATATGCATTAATCTTTCTGGAGGAGTGAAGCCTACCATGAATCTTAACGGTTTGTGTTCAAACTTGCCACTACATCAATTAAAGTCGAAGTTCTTTGACGATGGTATTCTACAACTTATCAGTCTGTCTCGCCTGTTTTGTTTCCTTTCCAGTAATTTGTAACTTAGGGAGTCACTGAAACTTCAGTACCATGTTAATGTTGAAAATCCAACAAATCTAAACCATCTTCAACTTCTGCTTTACTATATTCTGAAAGGAATTCATGATGCAGTAGCACTTTCCATTGATCCTAACCTTGTTAATGTAGAGTGCAGGACCTCTTCCCAGCTCATAACTTTCGATTCTAATTTCAGGACAGATTGCAGTTTTCGGCAGAGCGATGAAGCGCCCCCTTTACGCGAATTTCAACTCAATCCAAGCCTCATTTCAAACTTGAGAAATCAGAGCTAGGTAGCTACTTTACAGTTTACAGAAATGCTCCTGAAACTAGGGTAGCTCGAATGTTGAACTTTTGGCAAGAGCATGCTCAAATCTTTCTGTTTGCTAAACTCGTGTTGTATAAAAAGATGAATTATGAGAATTGCAATTTTATGAAAAAATTCAAAATTCAAAAAAAGAATTCACCTTGAATGAAACCTTAATATTGTTACTACATTTCGCGAAATAAATAGCGACCTTAATGATCACAATTCACCCGGACTGGGCTATGTTTGGGAAGCGGGGGAAAATTAGAGGTGAGCATGGTTCGGATGGGCGGTTCTCACCCTAGAACCTAAATCGCCCACTAAGGGCCGGTTCCACAAAATGGGAACAGGGAACTGCCCACTAGTTCCTAGACCCACCTAGGAACCGGACCATGGTCCAATAATTAGGGCACAAATCCCAAAAGTAAACGTGTTTTTAGCCAAGACTTTTGACCGGTATACATTAATTAGAAGGAATGTCCAAAAACACATAGCCTCAAAAACAGGACACCAACAACTGCGAACGAGCGAAATCTCTAACGTGCGAATAACACGTTTTGGTCAAGGACACGTGTCGGCCTTTGATTACTCCATCGACTCTCTTAACTAACAAAATCCGCTTTATTTAACAAAGAAGAATAAATATTCGATAAAGATCTCATAAATTCTCACCAGAACCAAAATATTCCCTTTTTTATTCCTTGTTTTCCCCCAAAGATAAGAGGCTTGCGTTAAAAAAATAAGGAAAGATATTATCAGAATGTCTAAAAACTGCTAATTTCTTTTTTTAATGAAAAAAAAGAATAAGTGCATTGAAAATCCTAAAATTTGTCATCAAAATGTAATTGAGTTCTAAAACTTACAAAATTACAACTAAGTCCTAAAACTTATCACAAAAATACAATCGAGTCCTAAAACTTTCAAAAAGTGCAATCAAATCCTAAAACTTATCGAATTGATCTATTTAAGTCATTCTGCCGATTGCACTTTTTCAAAATTTTTGGGCTCGATTGCACTTTCGCGACAAGTTTTAGGACTTAACTGCACTTTCGTGACAAGATTTAGGATTTTATTGCACATTTTGAAAGTTTTAAGACTCGATTATACTTTTCTGATAAGTTTTAGGACTTTCAGTATACTTATTTAAAAAAAAAAAAAAAAAAGGGTGTTAATGAGTGTGTTGAAAAGGAAGGAACAGTTGTGGGGCTAGCTATAACCTATTACACCGACAGCACAACTTCCAAAAAAGAAATCGAAAAAAACTGGCCATTTTTTAAAAGGAATCGCGAAAATGAGCTGGCAAAAGCGCATTCGCTTTTAATATTAAAAATCGAACGGGGGCCAATCACAGCCCACCAGTTCCCCTATAAAAGCAGCTCACCAGAGCTCTTCCTCCTCTCCCTTCGCTTGCGTCTCGTTCGCCTTCGTCTTCCTCAAAAGGCCATCAGCTAAGTGCCATTCCCTCTGTTTTCTCTCTTTGGTTTTTTTTTCTCTCTCTCGTTTTCTTCTTCAGTGCGTTCTTCGTTAGGGTTTCGATTTCCGCTCCTGTTCGATCGCGCTCCTTCGCTCGTTGTTCGTAGCTCGAGTGGGTTTCGGATCTCGCGCGCGCGCGCGCATTCGCTCGATCGGTCTCTCTCTCTCTCTGTGGGTCGATCTGAATCCGGGTCTTGTCCGGGCGGTCGCCGCCGATCGATCGGGGGTCGTTCTTCTCTTTCCGTCGACTCGAATTCGAGGGATTCGTAGGTCTGCACCGATGTTTCTAGGGTTCTTTGCGTGGGAAATCCACTTATAGCGTCCCTTTCTTTTTATGAGCTGCTCGATCCTGATGCGTCGCGTTCGCATCCTGCATTCCTTCTCCGTCGTCTTCCTGTACTGGTTCTACGTCTTTTCATGAACTCGCCTTCCTCTTGCCCGTGAATAAACCCCCCCCCCCCCTTGCCTCGCCTAGTGTTCGAAAAACACAATCCGAAAACCTCTGCAAATTACGTAGATACTAGTTGTGCTTTCGAAGTAGTTGAGTTCGAGGAGGAGAGAAGGGCGGTGACGATGGCGGCTTCTTCTTCGCAATGCCCGACGAGCTCGGGTTCGGAATGCAACCAGCGGCCCGCGGCGGCTGTTGATGAGAGGAAGAGGAAGAGGATGGAGTCGAACCGGGAATCCGCTCGGCGGTCGCGGATGAGGAAGCAGAAGCAAGTGACGGATTTGTTGGGCCAGGTGAGTGAGTTGCAAAATGCCAACGGTCAAATAGCGCAGGGCATCGACGCCACCGCTCAGAAGTATGTGGAGATCGAGTCCGCCAACAATGTGCTGCGGGCTCAGCTGATGGAATTGACCGATAGGCTGCGGTCCCTGAATTCGGTGCTTCAGGTCGTGGAGGTGGTTAGCGGGCTCGCGATCGATATACCCGAGATACCTGATCCGCTCATGGAGCCGTGGCAGCTGCCCTGCCCAATACAGCAGCCGATCAGGGCATCTGCCGACATGTTGCAGTTTTGATCATCAAATCGGAAGTGCAAAAGTGGGGGCTGATTCTTCTCGAGTCCCCTCCTGGGGGATGGTAGATCTATATAGGCCATTTGCTGCATTTGGTTTTCTTGTCAATTTCGTTGTCTCTTTCTAGAAGTTGGAACTTGAGTATCTGTATGCGTCTGTCTAGATGGACTGGCGACTTTTTATGTCTCCTTGACATTGTACTTGGCTGTTTTTGTTACTTGTGGGCTGTTCCTGTCTTGATGGTTTTCAACAAGCTTATCTCTCTCTTTCTCCTACTTCGTTTAAAGTCATTTCTTATGCTTATGGTGAGATTTGGCTTGATAGTTAATGTTTGGATTCGGTCTATTGTTGAAATGTGACGCGGTGCAAAATTCATATTGGTTCCATATCGTTTTTAGGTGGTTGTTTATGAGTCGCGCATGATTGGAAATTTGATTTGTGGGTCTATTGATTAAGTCTAAGAAAGGAATACTCGTATGACTTGGCCTTATTTGTTTCGCACCAAGTCTGCTAATGGGCTCATGATACCAAAATGAAATGTTAGAAAAAACAATTGGATGTCTGATACTTTTCCACATTATGCAATACATTTGCTTTGCCAGTGACTACAAGTTCACAAGTTGCTATCTGCACAAAAGGAAAATACGAATTTGTTTCCTCTGCCTTTATTGTTGAAGTGTGATTTTAGCGGAATGGTGTCATCTGAGCCAATGTGCAAGGCTCGATATGCCTCACAAATTGTAACATGGTTCGAAGAATTCTGCAAATAGTATGGTTCATCTGCTCTTTCCAGCCATCCTCCTCTTCCAGGGTTGTTTGAAAGAATAGTGTTTGTGCTTCTCAAATTTCCCTTCGCATTGCTTATGCATGCCCTGTGTTTTAGATTTGTGTCGACAGCCTCCTTAATTGGAGAAAAGAGTTGCTTGGTTATGACGATATTGGCTGGACAAGGACACGTAAATGCTGTTATCCTCTCATCGAATGAAAGCTTTCCCATGAAGTCATAAACAGTACCGTTGAGTAGAAGCATTGATCTTTGCATGAATCGATTGAGTATGTCACTCGGAGTTCTTGTGGTTGCGAGTTTGAGTCCGAAGACCTAGAAAAGTCTGGCAGTGGGTTTCAAAGTGTTAACACGCTCGAGCATTCTCTGCAAGTAATTTCGATGTTTCAGTGTACAGATAGTGCGACGACTTTCACGTAATTGTGTCGTCCATATCCAAGATTACGCAATTGATATCCTCTGATACACTAAGCAGGTATCATAAGAGTACATACAAATACGAATGAGTTCTAATTTCGTCGGAACATTATAATTTGTGCTTGGAGACGAGGGAACAATCTCTGGTCTAACTGGGGTGTCAACGTAAAACCAAAATTGGTTCGGATTTTCGGTTTTCCTTTTTCCTTTTTCTTTTGCTTGCTGTCATATATTAAAATAAAAAGCCATTTTCTTCAAACTTTCAGTAAAATAAAAGCCAAATGGGTATTCATCCAACCACTAAAAACCTTGTGGCATTTTACACATCTACTCTAAGCTAATCTAATCTAATCCGATCTAATCCTAGGAAAAGAAGAGAAGCTACGGATTTTAGCACGCCCCAAAAATTAAATAATAGAGAATTGAGCGGGGAAAAAAATCTAAAAAGCTGATGTATTAGAAGGAATTTGGCATTTAACAGGACTTTCGGTTCGATTTTCGGTTTTGGATCAATTTTCCGGATCGGTTCAGACACCCCCAGGTCTAACTGAGAGGTAAGTCTCAATCTTTCCAAGCTCCAGACCAATCTCTTCTGTCCTATGGCCCAATTCCTCCACTTTATATTCTCCGACAAATTTTTGTTTCACCGGTGGATGGTATCTACATGTTCATACATCTATGAAGCTTCTTCAAAAGATTGTATTTAACAGAACATATCTCAAATTGTTTGAGTTGTAGCCAGTTCCAGAGTCGTCTAGAAGCAGTTTTCACATGCTTGCAAATTCCACCTAGCATAAGAGGAGACGTAGGCGTGTTATAGAAGAATACGCATATTCATTAGCATGTATTCAGGCTGTCACCAATAAAATCCAGTGGTGCAAGGTACATCTGATGAAAGTACAACAAGGTATCACTATTCTCACAGCACATATACCAGAACTGAAATTAATCATCTCAAGGACATGGCGAGGGGTATAGCGGATAGATATCAATCTTCGTATGTACGGCATTCGGCGGTCTCCGGGTTGTCCTTGCAGTAAGTCTCTAGGGGATCCGATGCCACCTTCTTGTCCCTAAGGTGGCTCGCCGTCGCGCTCAGCTCCTCCACCTCATCCCATGCGGCCACACACTCGCCGCTCGCGGGGTCGCCGGAGCATGCCTCCTCCGCTTCCTTTATGCTTTCGGCCACCTTATCCTCTATCTTCTCCGGGGCAGCGGAGGCCATCACCATGCGGCGGCGAGCCCCGAGCTGGTAGGTCCTCCTCCATGGATAATTCAGCTGTGGGGAGGCGGAGGCGGACAGCTTCTGCGGCTCGGCCGACTTGGGCACGGTTCTTGGGGTCGAGAGGCTAATGCTTGATATTGTTGCCATTTGGAAGGGGAGTAGATAACGTTCTTGGTGTGGTATTGTGCTATGGTAAGGGGAGATTGGGCACGCATTGTGTATATAAATAGATGGGAGACGCGGTGGTATTGTGAGTTCACGTTTCTTATCAGCTGACAACCAGTGGTAGGGCTCCACGTGGGAATTTCACTGCAGATATTTTACGTTTTTCGGTGCTAAGAGAAGTATTTCTGTAAACCCAAAAATATGGAATGGACAACAACTATTCGCCGGTCTTCCATGAATCTATACAAGACCTTCGTTGTTCAAGTTTAAAAAAAGAGATTTTGGGACAATAATTGTCAAACTAAAAGACTTTCGGAGAGAATCCACGATCCTTATCACAGTAAAAGGTCCGTGACAGATTATCTCACATCCCTCTCCTTGGAAAACAATGTGAACTTGAGGAAAACGTCGTAATCTTACTTGAGATATCTTAAGATACCATCTGATGCATCAACGGCCGAACAAGAGATTCACAACCTACGCAAGAATATGCCAATTCAAGGTTTTGTCATCCAGCCGAGGTCGGCGTTACTCGCGTACGCTTCAGGGGTCGTTGATATTTTCTAGCAAGATTTCGGAAGCCTTTACCACGTCTCTTTTAACAACCAGACGCTGCTCTGAAATATCAACCCCGCCATTGCCACATCTTCAGATTCTAAGAGGAGACAGATTCCACAAGACTTCGTAGTTTCTGGCCGTCCAAGTGTTTTGACAGATGACCAGAGAAAAAGATCGAGAAGATAAAAGAGTTTTTCGAGCATACGCACTCGCATGAGCACCCTCGCTCCCTAGGAGACCCCTGAATTCTCGATACATACTAGCATGAAGTGCTCCGTGAAAACAAGTGAGAAAATTGTGCATCAAATGTGATTCACCATCTGACATAGCGTATAGGGCGGAAGGGGAAAACATCAATAGCGGAGTATACGCCATTACAAACCCAATACAAAATAGATAATGGACTCAGAGGCTTACACGGCCTGACAAACCATCCCACACATTGGGTTCAGACGGGAATAAAGCGGGACACTCTGCACGTTGTAAGCAGAAACTGATAAGACAATTTAGTTGATGTGATTATCAGACCAACTTCATTATTTTCAGCAACAAGTTGATCAACTGATTTACTCAAGCTCAAAGCCATGAGAAATATAATCGAGTTAATGACATCTCAAACTTACAGAACCGCATATCCACAGTAGTGTGAAACCAGAAAACTAGAATGACTTTCCAATAGCAGTAGGGTTTGAATGTCAAAGCACAATTTTATTCTTCAGTCAACTAAGTAAATCTCATGATCAAGAGACAATTGAAGGAAAAAAACAAATTGACAGGTTATTCCTGAACTTGTCCATCAGAGGACAGGAGATGACTAGTGCTTACTCTTCTGCAACAACACTGATCTCGCCCTTCTCCAGAAGATCATAAAATGCCCTCACTTTCCTCTGCTCATTCCAGTGATGCATTTTCCAGACGCTGCCAGCAGCCAGTCCAAGGGTGATACCGATCAAGATCTCCTTGATGACACTTGGTCCTTTCAACGTGGCGTGAGCGATTTTATGGCCGGCCATTCTTCCACAACGATCTGGAACTTGCAAGACCAGTGATCAGAAACCATAACCTCTTTTAACTAGTTATCTTCATTTTCAACCATAATACCAGAGTGTAGAAATACATGTGCACAACATGTGATGGCAACACGCCAAGTGGTTACATACTAGTTGCCACCATTTTCTCTAGAACCCGCCATAACTTCTAAATGCTCAATGGCTAATAGAAAACGTAATTCCAGCATAGCATTATTTTCCCCGTACTTCAGTAATTTGACACAACAATCAAGTTCTAGATCATCGACTTTAGTGACTCGAAAAAGAAAAAAATGGCATGAAGGTGATGCTGAAAGGTAATTAACTAGGTTCTAGGCACACCACTCAAGACAAGATCAACTTAACTTAATGGATAAAGTGTACAGATGAGATAAATAAACTCTGTAAATTGTCTTGAACCTCATCTCCACGCGCCCAATGCAAAACGTATTGCACTCTTCACCCTCACTTAGACTTCTTCTAGAAGATAAATCGCTAGAACTCTCTCTAAAATATCAGAGATGAATTTACTCAATCTGCTCCAATTACTCTATGGAGTATTTACTCATACAAGAAAAGCAAGATGAAAGATGCAACATACAAACCAATAAATCAAAAAAGATTAATGAATGCAGAATTCCAGTGTACCATGTGAGATAGATTTAGGTGTAAATATCGGACAAGCCCATATATAGGGGTGTTAAGAAAAGGAAAACAGGTAAACTACCACCGCGCGCGCGCGCGCATGAGAGAGAGATGTGTTTTCTGTGGAAACATTTGAGATTGGACATACATAGTCTACGTCAAAGCAAAACTTTTTTCTTGTGTATCTACTTAATATCCACAATTGAAAACCGAACCACTTAACAAAAAACAAATTGAAGTAAACGTCTGCTTTAAATTGTGATTTTTTGGGTTCGGTTTGGATTTGAGGTGATATTTTTCCAACCCATGAGTTCAGTTTAGGTTGAAATATCTCCAAACTGAATCGCAAGACAACCCTACATAGAATCAAATACAAAAGAACCAAAGAACAACATGAGTTCGCGATGAAAACTGCTGAGTATGGAGAACAGGTGTACTTTGAGTGACCAATAAGAATAATCGAATGACCCAGGTGAAATCAGCCATGTAGCTTATCCTAAACAAAATCAGCAGCAACATCTGAAATGCAATTTCATTTCCACAGAATCTTCCATCGAGGTCCCTGATTCATCTCCGACGAGGCCCGCACCACGTGCGAAGTACATGGACGTGCGAGAGAGAGAGAGAGAGAGAGAGAGAGAGAGAGAGAGAGAGAGAGAGAGAGATGAGAGATCGAAAATTGCTCTGCGGAGAGGGCCATTAACAATCCACTTCACCCAGAAAGGGGGAAAAGGAAATCAAATCAGGGCAGGGAGGGACAATATCTACTACTTCCTCTATTTCAGACGAAACCCCAGATCATCTCCCCCGACCTTACAGAGCGAACAGATGGATCGATACGCGCTGCAGCATGAAAAGAAAACCGAGATTACTTCCATCGACAGCAGTACAGATCCATGAATTCTTCCAGTAACCCGCACTGCCCACCATCCGCACGCTTGCATCACACAAAAATCACGCACGGAACTCGCGTAGCTCTAGAGTCAAACACCGATCGAATCGAAAGAACATGGGTTCTTCATGCGCTAAATCAACTCGTAACAACAATCTGGAAGGGTCGAAAGCCGTACCAAAATCGGAGATCCGGATTAGGGTTTACCTCGGAAGAAGACGACGGAGTCTACGTTTCCTTGGAGCTGAACGCGCGCGTGTGTGAGAGAGAGAGAGAGAGAGAGAGAGAGAGAAAAGGGGTAGGAACAAAAATGAGGAATTGAAAATTGATGGGTGGGCTTCTTCGATGGGCTGGGCCTTCTGATCCGATGGGCCTACTTTCCTGTTTCGTGGTTATACGAGAAGAAGCCCCATTTCTCAATCGCTCGAAATAAAAATAAAACAAAAAACGAGAGAGAATTTGGATTGATGGACGACATTACAATGTCGTCCCCGAACTTTTAGTGTGTTCAATGTGGTCCATGAAATGTTGATAAATGTTCAATTGAGTCCCTTAACGATATGAAGATATTCAATGTCGTCTTTCGATTAACTCAACTTAATGGGATCAGTCGATGTAAATTCCAATTCGTTAACTCTAAACAGTGGGACGGAAAAAAAACGGTACAAGTGGATTAGCAAAATAGGATATTCATCTCAAATCAAGAAATAATAATATATGTCGTAAAATAACATCGGACATGTTAAAGCCCTAATTTGTTTTTCCTTTTCTAAAGTAGATATAAAAGGATAAACATGTTAACTCGTCATTTTTAAAAATCCAACTTAGCATATAATAATCTACATCATCAAATAATGCTCGATTTGTCATATGAGCAAGCGGAAGAACCACGTTGAATATTTACAAATAGTTCATGGACCATATTGAATAAATTAAAAGGCTATGAACGATGTTATACATTGGGCTAAAGTTTGGAAATCATTTGTGTTATTTTTTCTTTACTTTTAGGACAATCGATAAAATCGCCATCCCGATCAAACAACCGGACAATCAATGACCAATGATACAATGGTTGACAACCATCGCCAAACTTCGCTTAATCCTCGTGGTCGGTCATCCAACGGCTCGCGAAGGCCTTTAAAATTTCACGGCCGTTGTAGCCCCCTGCATAGAAAAAGACATTGGATTCTATTATCTTGTCTTCTGTTTCTCACTCTCTTTAATCCATTGAAGAAGCCCATCGTTCTTGCTACTCGATGGCCTTCATCAACACTTTTATGCAGCAATGAAGGAGAATCACGGTGCGTGTCTTCAAAGGATTTTGCCCCTGGACCATGAACGTTAGAGGATCGGGAACGGTGGGGGGTTTCGACAAGGCCTCAATTGCGTCACCTCGACCGATGCATTGCCTTAGATACAACGTTGCTCGTACACGGAACTGCAGTGCTAAACAAGATGTCGCGCCATTAGTTTGTCCTCAAAACCATGGTTATATGGTGGTGATGGTGGGAGTGTGAAGCTACTTGGTTGAAGAGAGAGATGCCAACCCGACTATATCGCAATTCCTACTAGTTTTGAAAAATCTTCAGTGAATTTTTTTGTGTGAACGGCAACCGGCAAATTGATCTGTATTAGGGGTGAGCAAGATAGACTGACTGGACCGGACAGGACTGAACCGAGTTCGCTTCCTGAGCGTGTCGGTCTGGTTCCTGATTCCTAAAAGTGGAATAGGTGTTTAGGCAGTTCAATTCCCAATTCCGAGAGAGAACCGGACCAATCAAATTGGACCAGCTATATATATCTTCAAAAATATAAGATAATTACTTGAGTGGTCTTACTGATTTGCTTCTCTCTCATTAGTGCTTAAATTTCTCGCCCTCTTTCTTTTTATTCCTTCCACGTTGACCAACCTTTTCCATTAATTTCCAAAGAGAATATCCCTCTCTGTATGCTCTTTCTCTCATGACCATATTTCCTTTCTGATTTGTTGCCAAAATAAAATGGAGACAATCTCCTTTGCTCCCCTCTTCGATCACTGCCATATTTGTTGCCCCTTTTTACGTAGTCTAGAGGAATTAATTTCTTCGATCATTCTGGCTGAAATTTGTCGGAGAAAAGCACGAAAGATTTCTCTAATTGACTAGTTGGACTTCTTTCTTTTTGCCAGAGAAAAGCCAAAATCTCTTGCCCTTTTTCTTTTTTAATTTCATCTTCATGTTAAATAAGTGATCGGTTCTATTGGACCGGACAAGGAACCGGTCACCCCTAATCTATATTAGGACTAACCCCTCCTCAACATGAAGAGATAATAATTGCATATCGATTTGGCGTATTCATTAAAAAAAAAAATGCTATGTCGGTTGTTATCGCGTTAGATTGTAATATTTGTAAGTTGGACGCACGATTTCGAGACAACCTTCGACAGTCGCTTTACAGTCAAAGGGACAGACACTTTAACCTGCGGCTTAGATGACACGCTCCAACGAATGGGAACTCTCCAGTTATAAGAGCACAGTTAAAACTATCAACCCTGAAGAGACCCATCTCCACCCGCATGAATATGAAGGACATCGAGAGTTCTTTGTCAGTCTCCATCCATCATGGCTATGATCCGAACTCGACATAATGCAAATCGCACTTCTCATAAAATTAGTTAAAATGGGATTTTATGCATCGAATCGACTCCTTCGCAAATATCGCTTTTGCCCCTCAATGGAGAAAGCGAACAGCCTTATCCCACGAGATTTGAAACACAAAGGGGCAAAGATCTCAGCCTTATCCACGTGCTGCTACGGTTTTTCCTTGGATTGATTTCCAAGTCTAGATCCTAGCCAACATTAGAATAAAACACAGCTTTGATTGATTTTCTTTTAAAATCCCGGGCTAAATAGTAAACAGATTCCCTCGCAAACTGGCAGCATCTCAACCTTGGTGGCCCATCATCATCATCGTGCTCACCATCCCCGTTCAAGCACCAGTTCCTACTCCCTCACTTTCGCCCGCACATCATCTTCCACTTTGCGTTTTCTTTAATGATTTTTCTGTCAAACATCTTCCACCTGCCCCAATTCGACAGGCACACACACTCGCATGCATGTGTCCACCGCACTGCTACCGAATTCACTACCAATCTTGTCTTTGACTTTCATACGAAGCATCGCATCCCACAATCCCATCCCTCTCTCAACATTCAAAACAAAACCGGAAAAACACAGAAAGAAGCGAGAGAGAGAGAGAGAGAGAGAGAGAGAGGGAAACCCCAGGGACACTGGGTGAGGCAGTAACACATGGAGAGGCAGAGAAGTTTCTCTGTCAAGTCCGCGAAACTCCTGGTCTTTTCCCTCACGATCTCTTCCTCCCTCGCCTTCTTCGCTTTCCTCTCCGTCTGGGCCTTCAGGATAACCCCTCCCACCCACCCAGAAACCCACCTCCACTTCAACATAAACCCCTCGACTGTTCAGAAACTGACTGGATTTAGTGGGAACTCGTCAGCAGTCAGCGCAAAAGGTTCGATTTTGATCGGTGCCCATCTCGAGAAGCCCGACAGTGCTTCTAGAAATGCCGCTGGGTTTCTGAAATTCTCAGCTCTGAGGGAGATTCAGAAGGATGGAAGCGACTCCGAAGTGCCAGACGACGAAGACACTGCGTTCAAAGCACTCTCTGAGAATGACGATGATTCGGGTGGTCAAAAAATCGAAGCGGCAAACTCAAATAAGAGCACTCATCCATGGCAAGTTGTAGTGGCGAAAAGTGAAGGAATCGAAGAGGGGAGAGAGAAAGCGACTCCATCGCAGCAAGAGGAAGGTTTAGTCAGTGTGGAGAGCGAAGCAGAGAGTTCAGGAGGTTGTGAATTGGCGAGAGGGAAGTGGGTTTACGACGAGAGCTATCCTCTTTACACGAATGGGTCGTGCCCTTTCATAGACGAAGGTTTCGATTGCGAGGGAAATGGAAGACCAGATAAAGACTACGCGAAGTGGAGGTGGCAACCGCAAGATTGTGACTTTCCAAGGTGCTACTTTTTCTCTGTTTTTGTTTCTTTAATTATTTTTTGTTTTTTGTTTTTGAAATTTTCCGAATCAATTGGGATGAATGAGTACCCGTTTCTGCTGCATTTACTGGTTATGCATACGCAATTTAGACAACATAACAGACGAGACATGGTTATAATTTTTTTTTTGGTCGCGTTTTCGGGGTCATATCAGGTTCAATGCTACGAACATGCTGGAATTAATCAGAGGGAAGAGGTTAGTATTTGTTGGGGATTCAATGAACAGGAACCAGTGGGAATCCATGCTGTGCCTGTTGATGGGAGGCGTTCGAGATCCGAAGAGGGTTTATGAGGCCCGTGGACGGAAAATTACCAAAGAGAAGGGGAATTATAGTTTCAGATTTGTGGTAATTATTCCGACAAATTAAATGATTTTTTTTTGTTGTGCTCTGTTTCCTGTGAGAATTGATGGATTGCTGCGTTTTTCTTGCAGGATTATAAATGTACAGTTGAATTCTATGTGACTCATTTTTTGGTTCACGAGAGCAAGGCACGGCTCGGGAAGAAGAGGATACAAACATTGCGGATTGACACCATGGATCGTGGCTCATCCAGATGGAGAGGAGCCGATATTTTGGTCTTCAACACTGCCCATTGGTGGTCCCATTACAAAACAAAAGCTGGGTGAGTAGCTGGATGAGGACTTCTTGATTTGTTATGCAAATTTACTTTCGAGCATTCAATTCGGCAAGTGCTGTGTATACCCAGTGGAGAACACGTTTATAGTAGGCAAAGTGCGGTAGAATAAATTTCTCCTATATTGCAAATCAGATCTGATAAGTGCTTGTAGCATCAAGAATCCAGCCTGTCTTGATCAGGTCTTGGCAAATTTTTAAGGGATAAGTGCATTTGAAGTCCTAAAACTTGTCACGAAAGTGCAATTGAGTCCTAAAACTTTCATAATGTGCAATTAAGTCCTAAAACTTGTTACGAAAATGCAATTGAGTCCTAAAACTTTCAAAAAGTGCAAACAAGTCTTAAAACTTGTCACGAAAGTGCAAACAAGTCCTAAAACTTGTCAAATTGGTTCAATCAAGTCCTTCCATTGATTGCATTTTTTGAAAGTTTTAGGACTTGATTGCACCTTTGTGATAAGTTTTAGGACTTGATTGCACCTTCACGATAAGTTTTATGACTTGATTGTACTTTCGTAACAAGTTTTAGGACTTGATTGCATTTTTTGAAAGTTTTAGGACTCAATTGCACTTTCTTGACAAGTTTTAGGACTTCTAGTGCACTTATCCCAATTTTTAAATATGTTTGAATCTCAAGTGGAGGTAACTATTAGGATTAAAGCTACGAGAATATGTGGAACTAAAAGTAGAGATGTGGACTTTCCTTTTTCATGCAGTCAATGCAACATCACATGTACAATGAATACAATTGATCTTGACTTCATAGGCTTGTTTCTGTGGTCTACATACTTGTGTGCCATTTCATAGATAGATCTCTGGGGAGAAGAATTAATATACTGTTGACTGTTAATTTAGAAAAAGTTGGCTGAATTAAGCGTCAATAAAGATTATCTATTTTCACATGTCCATCTTAATTGCTTTCCTGCAAAAGATATCTATTGGAGACCAAATTATGATGTTGATCCTCTCCTCCTGACGAGACCATCCATACCAAATCTTAGACAAGCTGAGATCTTTCTTCTGTAGAACTTTATTACAGAGCAAATATGAAACGATATCCATTGTATACTTTCCGTTTGCTGTTGGAAATCTTTATCTACCTCTTCAATGTTCATCATTACATTCTGGGCAAGGAGAAGTCAGTTAGGAAACCAGAAGTGGAGGAATTTGGGTCACTAGGTTGCTTATCCATGTCTCTACCTGAGCAAAAGGTCAGCGTATCCAAGGATGAACTGTTATGAGTGCATGGTTAAGTAGTAGGAGTTCTTAGGCATTGTTCCGCTGTTAAGTGCATTCGCATGGTGCTTTTCCACTGAGTGTGTAGTCTATGGGTGAACATGAACTCATTTGATAAAGCCACGGTGAAGCTGCTTGCAAGCCAATATTACTGCTTTCCCATCAATACTTTTGTGTTCTCTTCTGTTACTACAAGATCCGGCAAAAAAAGAAGGGCCATTGCCACAAATTTCTTAATTTCTTATTGATTGTGTATTTTCACAATTTGGATTCTTTGTAGTTAAACTACAATTTTCCTAATTTGGGTACCGAGATTTTGTGGCAAATTTTCTGATGAGCACTCGCATCATTCTAGGATCAATTACTACCAAGAGGGGCGTCAAGTCCTTCCCCAGCTTGATGTTTCAACGGCCTTCAGGAAAGCTTTAATGACCTGGGCATCTTGGGTTGATAGGCACATCAATCCGGCCAAAACACAGGTCTTCTTCCGAAGTTCCGCACCTTCTCATTTCAGGTTTGCCTTCGCTGTCATAAACCTTAAAACATAGATGAAATCCTAGCCTCACATTTGTTGCTATCTGGAATAATGATCCATGGAACGTAGGGGAGGTCAGTGGAACTCTGGAGGCCATTGCCGAGAAGCAACCCGACCCCTTAATACTTCCTCTAGTAACTGGTACTCGGAGAAGAACGTTATTGTGGAGGATGTTATGAGGCATATGAAAACTCCTGTAACGTTATTGAACATAACCGGTCTGTCCATGTACAGAATAGATGGCCATCCATCTATTTATGGAGGAAGAACGGGGAAAGGACGCTCTTCCAACATACAGGACTGCAGTCATTGGTGTCTTCCTGGCGTTCCAGATACGTGGAACGAACTTCTGTATATGCATTTGCAAACTAAACTACGTCATACTGTCCAGTAAATGTATATTCAATTAATTTTTTCTTAGTTCCTTTTCGGTTTTTTCTCAAGTATAATCTCATTATTTTGTTTCTGCATTGATCTTCCCAATTTCGTGTTTGTTCACTTCCACTTCTTGGGCTTTTATTTTTCTTGTAAATGATCGGATTGTGGCTAGTAAACAGGGGGAACATAGCGTGAAAATGGAGGCATCATTCTTTTTGATAAGTTTTTGCTAGTGAGTGAATCATATCTTCACCTTTTGCCTCACTCAGCAATTGATTCTGCATTCGATTTTTGAATCCTACTCGATATTGATTTCGAAGAGGAAATCATCATTATGCCGATGCATAAGAATGGATCATGCTTCCCAGAAGCCACTGGTTTAGGCAGGGCATGCAATCTTTACTCTCGAACCTAGTAGCAACTAAATGGATAAAAATGATGTGACAGCAAGAAGATTGGATGCATATGTTCAGATTCAGTTTCGGACCTTGCCTTAAGAATTGCACAAGGTCAGGAGCGGGAAAGTTCTTACCTAGACCTGCACCGTGACTATAATACATCTATTTGGATCGTTTGATCGCGTGGAATCGAAGTGTGATCAAGCTGAACCGACCATTGATGCCTATCCACTCCATACGAGCCGGGTCCAGGTCCTGGAAAGTATTTGCTGTCGTCGCCAGAGTTTCCTGCGAACCTTCTGCAAAAAGTCATTCCAAGCCACATGAAGCCCTTGACAATTTTGACCATCCCAATAGCCACGGTCAGGTAATACAACCACCAAGCCACAAAGTCAGCCACTTCATCACCCATCAAAAGCTCCATCTTCACCTCAGGAACCACCACCAGCGAGTCGACCTCCTCCCTCAGCCTCCACCACCACAGGCCAACGAAGCTCATGGCTGCCACCGCCCTCTCGGTCCACCGCTCCTCTCTAGGGAAACCGAGAACCGTGTCGTCCACCACCGGCTTCACCACCACCCTGCACCAATTGGCCATGGTCTCATGCAATCCTATAAAGAACAGGGCCTTATTGAACGAACTTGGCTCAAAGCTTGAGCCGTCGACTACTCCAGGAACCAAGCTCCCCTTGATGCCTAGAAAAATGCAAATCTGAGACGTGCAGAGCACGACCCAGGCCATGTAAAGGCTGGGCTGGTGGACCGAACCGGTCGACTTGCGGAAGACATCAATGTACCCGGTGAGGCAATGAACAAGAGTGGCAACGCTGAGGATGGAGAGAAGGGCAAGGAGGAGAGTTGGGTTGGTGTCGAAGAAAAGAGAGAAGAGGAAAGAGATTGGCTTGAGGGTGTGATCCGCAGGGGCAAAGCTGAAGAAGTAGCTGGCACAAGAGAGCCTTGACACGAGAAGGAACGAGAGAGGAAGGAGAAGAGAGAGGAGTGTTGTGGTCAAGATGTGAAATGGTTCTCTCAGAAACACTGCCGGATTCGGGGGCTTCTCCACTTGCCATCCCATCCTTCACAAAATCCGACTTTGAATGAAGAGGTAAGGCAAGAGAGAATGTCTATTCAAATGTTCATCACACCGTCATATAAATATACTTTGGACAGAGGAACATAAACTATAAATACGTCGTTCCTTACCAAAAAATTAAATTTAACCTTACCTAAAAAAACTATAAATACGTCGTTGCCACGTCCATTGTCCAAAAGGGCTTGTTCTTGGTGTCCAAGAGGGTTTATCCACCTATTCAAATTTTCTTTTCCTCCTATAAATGTGCAAGAACTGATAATAAAAATGGTTGTATGAAGGGGGTGGAAGCAAGAAAGGCTTGCGTGACCTAATCATGCATTATTTCGCAAAGTCGTAGTCAATTAATGCCATTGGGATGTTTGATTGAAATAGACTCGCGGCCTATAGAGCGGCCTACAGAACAGCCATTATAATTCGTCCATGGATAGTCTGTAAACAACATAATCAAAGCCTACTTGCTCAACTTACTTTTTCAACGTTAGCTTAGGTCATATGCAGTTCAACTTATAGTTAAATGCTATCGCTTGTTCCATGGACGAAAGAATACTGTAAATTGCACTTCTCTTAGCGAATTAATAAATTATTTGGATATTTTCTAATGATGTACCAGCTTTACTACCAGCACAAAAATTTAAAAAAAAAAACTTCACCAAAATTAAAAAGAAATTAGCAACTCAAAAAAAAAAAGGGGACGATTCACGGAACCTAGAGAAGAAACCGTACAGAAATCCGTCACGTAGACATAGGGATAATGCCTTCGGTTAAGTAGCTCATCATGTCATTACAAAGTCAATGCCGTACAAAGGTCGTAAATGTAGTTTGTAGGGCGCTCGTCGCATCTTGGAATTTTTTTTTATCCTTTTTATATTATTATTATTTTGGTCAAGAATATGTTATCCTATCGATAGCTCGAGCAGTAAAGGATTCTGCATTATTGTGATTTTTGAGCGGTGCCTTTAATAATTCGTTGTGTTTCGGATGCATTATGGTTATGAATAAATGTGAATTTGACAAACCATACTACAAGATCTGGGCTGATGTTGTCTAACAAGCTTCTTCACGAAATTGCTTTTCACTTCCAGATAATCCATGGTTAGAATTCAACTGATCAGTACCAGTCATGGCCAGTCCCCAAAAGATTACAGGGTTGGCCGGGCATGGCCCAACGCACTACAATGGCAGGCACGGCGGGCCGGTGGCCTAGGCCGGCCCGTTCGCCACCCTTAAAACGTAGTCTCAGGAAGACATGTACCAATAAATGAGCTGTGTATTATCAGCAAATTAATCCCGGAGGGGTATATATGTTTCTACACCTGCAAAAACCTTGTCCTCCTGGCGACTCTAGATACAAATTGATATTGACAAAATAGATTCGCAAAGATATTCACGTGCCCCATGGCAGAATGCAGGTAGAGCTCCTCAGCATATTGCTCCTGTGAGCATCTTTTCCTGAACTGCCTGATAACATTGAAGACTGCAAAGAGGAAGCCTTGTCTTCGAGTCCCGATACTTATACGGGTTATTGCACGATGGCCCAACACAAGTTTCTCGAGGCGGAGGATAACTGCACATGGAAAACCAGTATATTGTTCAGCACTAGAGAAAGCCCCTGTAAGCACAAACAAATGTCTGCACTTATGAGTTGGGAGTTTTACCTGTTACTTTTGGAATCAAATATACTTGGGAGACCCATCTCATTTGGAAATGTAACAACAGTCCCTGTCGGACCCATGACCCACCTAATGGAACTTGATGCACGGATTGATTCATTGGCAGCCTTCTCCTAGAGGGCATAATACTTGTGTAAGAAAAATAAAATCTGTCTTCAAGGAAAGGTCCTAAAACTTGCATCAAAGAAGGTCCACTAATAAACACACAACTACCTCTGCCAATTCCTCCTGACGCTTCTTCATCTTATCTTCCCGTTTCTTCCTGCTGGAATCTTGCCCGAGTATTTTCCTAATAGCCTCAGCCTGTCAAATACAGCAAGAATGCCATCTCAGTTTGCCCATCTTATCAACATCTCAGAAAACAGAAAAAAAAAACACAAAACACCAAGAAATCATACCTCAGACTCTCGTGCAGCCTTTTCATTTAGCACTCTACGTCTCTGTGCAGCCTCAGCCTTCTTAAGTTGTTGCTCAACTTCTGAGAGTTTCTCCTTTTGTTCTACAATTAACAGATGGCGATATGAACACACAAACACCAAAAGCAATTACGAAATTTTCAGAAACAATTCTCATTGCATGTACTATGAAAATGCTCACTTCTTGGTGGCGCAGGTGGTAATCCATTGGGGTATTCAATTGAACCAGCTGTAACTGAGGCATCTTTACTAGATTGCAGGGCCCTTTGACGGGTCGTAAGAGTCATTTCCTTTCTGTTATTATCCATCAAGGTATCCACAGATTCTTTCTTCTGCCTTTTCTTCTTTCTACCTTGAAGTTCACCATCAGATCCAGTTTCATCTTCTTCCTCATATTCCGTCTCATCAGAAATTCTGTCTGCTCTTGGCTTCTTCTTTCCATCGTTGCTGCCCTTAAATGCACCAAGTCGTTCTATGTCAGACACACTGGCAAGTTTGCGCTGTTTCTTGCTCGATCCTTCATCATCTTCCGTATAACCCCCACCAATCTTTGAAGTTTTAAGCTTCTCCAGATACCGCAGCTCATCATCTTCATTATCGTCGAATTCACCATCCATTAACCGTTTCTTGGGCACCCGCTTGCTCTTGCGAACAGGCTCAGACTTATCCCCTTGTTTACCAGAACCGTTCCTTCCAGACACTTTCCCCATCGAAGAGTCTTCTTTCCCAAAGCTAAAGCCACCTTTTGAAAAATCTTTCCAAGGAATGCCCTGCAAGCCGGTCCTCTTATCTAGAGAAGGGGTGCCATCTAAATTTCCCTGCTAAGATTACGTTTTAAATAGAAGGGTATCAATCAGAAATAAACAGGGAACAACAAAAGCAACGACCATTTTTGAAAAAATACCCAAAGTAAATACAAAAGATACTGCTGCATCTAAGTAGGTAAACATAATTAGCGGCTCTAAGTACCTCAAGATTCGGCCTTTGCCTTGGCTTCAAAGAATCTAAAGCTCGTGAACTCTTCACAAAAGACCCACTCTCATGTGTGCCATTAGAGGTGGAAATTGTATGTGTAACACCTCCCACTTTTAGTTTTACTTTCTTAACCTTGTTTTCGTTTCCTACTCCATCTATAGTCATGGCTGACTGCCCTGGACCTTGACTTTCACCATTCCTCCCCCCGTAATTATCAGGAGCCTTACTAGTACTTTTCCAATTAGCAGGGGCCAGAACACCTTCACTAGATCGCTTGTTACTAAGCCCACTTCGTCCAGGCTCGTTATTGTAAAACGCATCGAAAGCTTCGTCATCCCTCCTCACCTTCTTCTGCATTTTCTCAGAATCAACTGCCCCAGAAGAAACACGGATGACGCATTGGTTAAGGTTAAACTCCTTTCTCCTGGAATTAGTGTCCCCACCATTATTGTCATCACTGGAGACCTTGCTCACATCGTCCGAAGCAGGTGCTGATGACAATGGTGAAAGATCATGACCTTCATATGAATGTGAGTCAGATCGAGGACGGCGAGCTGCACGGGTCCTCTTCTTCCTCACAGCGCTACCAAGAATTTCAAATCGAGTAGCGCCAAATTCCTCCATGAAAGTGAACTACTTCAGCAGCAAATTATGTTCCTACTGAATCACAAGACATAAAAATATCATGAACACCAATAACCCATGTAAAAAAGACAGATGCTGCACAAGAATCAGAGCAATATAAACACATTGGCATCAGCTAAAGTGACTTGTGCAGAAGACAACTAGAAAATTACGTCTGCAAAAAAAAACAGAACTTGCCCCTGAGAAAATCAACAATAACAATGTCTCACGAGAAAACCAGGCTCCACTCCAGGACCCCTCTTGATACTTGGGCTCCCCAAACAGACATGTCGAATCAAGAAAAATAAACCTCCCGGATTCTTTTAAAGCTATAAAGCCCACGCAAGAGCACCAGGAGCATGACCCCCAAAATCCCCAGAAAAAATACGAAATTGCACAATAATGCATCAATCCAACAGACCAAGAGAAAAGACATAGCATTAGCCAGCATCACAAGTCAAGCAAATTAAGACCAGCAGGATTCACAAAAGGTCACCCACAAGAATCAATCCCCAAGACAACCAAAGCCCAATCCACGTTCAAGACAATCAAAGGCAAACATACGCATAACAATCACGCCACAACAAGAACACGCATTCACGGATTCACCGCACCCAAAGAACCAACCCCGACCGCATCGCACCGAAAAATCCCCCAGGAATCCCACAAATCGCGCACCAAGCATCCACGCGAAACCGACAAGAACCAAACCAAAAACCCAGCCGACGCATTACCTCAACACCCCGGATTCGCGCCGCGCTAGAAGAAACGGCGAGCCGCGCGCGAGAACCGAGCCGACCCGGACATCGACGGAACCAGAAGCGAGGCCGAGGCCAGAGGAAGGGGGCACCAAAGGCGAAGAGGGAAGGACCGCCGGCGGGCCGCGGGCGGCGGCGAGGCGGAGAAGCGGCAGGGGAGGAGGGGGAAAAAACTTAGGGTTAGGGTTGGAGTCGGAGGGGGGGCGAGGATGCTGGGTCAGACGAAAGATGGTGGTGGTGAGGTAGAGATAGGGAAAGCGAGAGGTCGTGTGATGGTAAAGAAGGAGACGAGGAGCGCAAATAACCTTCGTGTCCTCCTCCATATTTTTGCTACTTCCACACCACCCCCCACCCCCAAACACAACACCAAAAAAAAAAGAAAAGAAAAACCCGAAAAACACTTCGTCTTCCTCTCTCTAATCTCTCCCTGTGGTCTCTCTCTCGTTCTCTCTCTAACTCTACCTCTCTTTCTCTCTCTTCGGCTTTCCTTTTAATTTCTTCGCCTCTCCTCTTCCCACGCCTCTCTCTCTCTACGCACGCGAGCTTGATATCTGCTGCAAAAAAACAAACCAACACACACGACGGTGGCGCAGGTTAAGGGGGGAGAGGGGACGGAGGCGCACGTTAGCGGCGCCGCGCGCGGGGCCGCAGCCTGTCCAGGCGCGACGCGTGTCGCGTGCTGATTGGATGGGACATCATCGCGCTGCGAGGAGTTTAATGAGGGGGGAAGTCCGGGGTGGGACGGGACCGGGGGGGGGGAGATGATTTTCGCTCCCGCTTTTTGCAGAGGGGGGCGGGGGGGTGGGGGCACGGAAAATTAGCTTTTGCACTTTGCCAGCCTTGTTGGAACGGGGGACGTACGTGTATCTTTGCCCCAGATCGATTGCTTTGGTTTTAGTGATTAAATAATCATCGATTCCGCGATAATTGGCGCAATTTTAGAAGAATAAAATTCGATCGATAAAAAAATATATATATATTTTCATGGGTTGTTTTCAAAACGATTGAGCATGCTCGTGAGGAAATTGGGGGATTCTATTTCACCCGGTGCCAATCGTCGTCACCGACATCGATTCGTTGGCTAAGTGGTTTGGATTCCCACGTGTCGGTCCCGAGTCACCTCTCTCACGTCTTCATCTGTCGATCATCATCATGACGGACCGATTCTAAATCGTCAGTCGTCAATAGATCGATTCCTCGAATTGCCGTTTATTGATTCCTGATTTCTTTTCTAATCAATCTAATGTCGATGTCAATTGGTCTCATTTGTCGCTGGCGATTAAACGCATTGAATTCCACAACGATCGGGCTTTAGATCGACCTTTGCGAAGCAAGAAAAGCAGATCTTGGTATGGGCGCCTGAAAGAAGCACGTTAAAACGGGAAATCTAATTCGGAGATGCATGTGAAGCTTGTAACCCAAATTCGAATAACACCTCACGAAACGGCTTTTACCAAGTAAAAGCCCAGAGGTTTATGGAATTAGTACAACGACAGACGAGGACAACGAAAGCACGCACAACACATAGCTAGAATCCGACAAGAAAAAAAAATAGAGTATTGGTTATTACCTTGATGAGATACAAAAAACAGAGCAAGAGAGGGAGGCGAGAGTCAAGAGTCGAGATGAGACCGCAAGAGGTAGGCGTCGAGCTCGAGCGAAAGGGACATGACTCAGGCGAGAGAAGGTGGCGTCATGTGAGGGTTGACCGAGAGGGACGCAACTCAGGCAAGAGAGGGGGAGAGTGAGGCGTGAGAGCCGAAAGGGAAAGAGGAGGCACGAGAGGCAATTAGGGTTTACCCACACTACAATCATTGCCGCTCTTTAAGAATAAAAAAATAAATCGGTCCGATCCGGATGGTCCGATTCCCACCATAGAATCGGAAACCGGACCGAAAATCACTGGTAATTGAAATCGGACCGACGGCCTCGGAAATCGCTCAAATTTGATCGGTTCTGTTCGGTTCAAACGGTTCTTATTGGTCATCCCTACCTATAAAAAGCGTGACGAGAGTCAAAGGGGGAAAAACCGGAGAATATCTCAATCGTGCACTGGCTTTTATCAGGAAACTCATTTTGGAAATTATTCCAATGCTATTTCCTCCATCAAGCATTCACGAGACTTGCTTATGATGGTCCTCAACTATTCCCCAGAATAGAGAATCTCTTTTGGCCAACATCTATACGAGGTTCACCTATCATGTTACATTAATTATATCTCCCACTATAGACATCGTTAATGGTGCTCATTAACGAGAGGAGTATCTCGACAACAGGGCTTAGTTCTCAGATAATGTCTGATATCACCTAGGGTTAGATAATCTCTCGCGCGTTTATGCGATTATTCCGTTGCTGCTGAAAGCTTGTCATTCGGGTTACAAGTTTCGCAAACCGAGTCAACTCCATTGGTGAAAAAAGGACCGCTTCTGTGCCCTTCGAGTTCGCAATCGCTGGCAGAAATGGCTATGCGTCAAAAGCTCATTCAGCAACAGCAAAAGGGCGAAAAGAAAACGATTCAATCTCGGCCCAGACATGTTTCTGACTCAAATACAATCACTCATCACCATCAAGAGAGTAACCTAACAGGATCCAGCTAATCGGGAAGCAGAGACTACCAGCTATGAGCTATGCAAACAAACGGAGGTGCTTGAAAGACAAGCCGGAGAAAGAAGGAAAACATAAAAGAAACCCTAAAAACTGCAAGAAAATAAGCTAAAAAGATATATACAAAATTTCACCCAAGTTGAGAACAGCCACTCTAGAGGAAGGAACACTTGACAGTGGCTGTTCTCAACAAGGGATAACAAACAGCACTCTCTTCCAGTCCGGTTCTTCCCCCATCTCGCCCAAATAACAAAAGAAAAAAAAATTCAAAATCGGAAGAGAAGAATTCTCCAGGTCATAGGTGCTGTACCAGCTGGGTAATTTTCTGGTTATCTTGGGCAGTCAAAATAGTGTAAGATAGACTGGCTACTGGATATTCTTTTCATCTTCCTTCATGAAGATCTTCAGAATAGACTGCAGTTCTAGAGAGGTTGTCGTTGTCGAAAGTACTTAAACCAGAGTAAGGACCAGATGAGAACATCGATGATGTCCCATCTGATTCAAAGGTTGTAGATGACTGCCTAAGGTTGGGTCTGGCATTGGTGGAATTTAGCATTGTGTCCTGATATTCGGTGGCACGCTGCACCATTTTAAGCGATTGTACCACTTCACCCATAGTAGGCCGTTGACTTGCCTCAGGAGCAACGCATGCAGCTGCAATTGTGCAAACCCGCACAAAATCTTCCTTTGGGTAGTTACCACCAAGCCTAGGATCAGCAAGTTCTTCCAGCCGGTCCTTGTCTCTAAGAATTGGCCTCGCCTGAAAGAAACATGAGCAATGTTGAATTCATACTACATGACTTTACAAGTGAAGCACATTTGACTCATCTATATAGAGAGATAGCACAAACACGTTTGGTGCATAGAATTGAGTAATAGCCAGTTGAAAGAGCACTTCAACTTAGCAACTACATTTGACACGTAAGAGTGCGAGAGAGACAGAGAGAGTATCTCCAGAAGTTCGCCTTTGAAATCTAACAATTATAAATGATTTAGGTTCTACTAACAAAGTTTATGAATGAGAACTGTATTTAGTTCTTATAATTGACAGCACAGACTTAAGTCACCTGGGGAGGAACAAGCTTCTCATCTTGAAAAACTTTGATCATGAGCAGGAGAAAGATCATGAAAACCAATGGAGAAATTAATTATACTAACCCAAGTGACAAGATTCTCCTGTCCAGATGGCTGTGCCATGTCTACAGGCTTCCTTCCAGTCAATAACTCAAGTAGGACCACTCCATAGCTATAAACATCACTCTTCACAAGTAGATGTCCCGTCATTGCATACTCCGGGGCCACGTACCTGCGAATTACCCCACTCCATTTTAGCACTGCTGTACAAAAGGATAAAACTATTTTCAATTGAGACAACAGAGATATACTGACCCAAATGTGCCCATCACACGAGTTGACAAATAATTTGTCCTTCCTTCAGGTGCCTGTTTGGCCAGGCCAAAATCTGCAACTTTTGCATGAAAGTTGTTCTCAAGCAATATATTGGATGCCTTGAAATCTCGGTGGATCACACAAGGCTGTGAGTCCTCATGTAGGTATGCAAGTCCTCTGGCGGCATCAAGAGCAATCTTCATTCTGGTATCCCAGTCCAAAGGACAGTTCACTCCAAGAGGACCTAAGAAAGAACAGAGATATTTTTATCCATTAGGGATAAGATTGAGTAGTCATGAAATTGTTGGCGAACCTTAAAAAACAAGAGCGGGAAATTCACCATGAAGCCAGGCCTCTAAACTCCCATTTGGTACAAGCTCATAACAGAGCAAATTTTGTGAAGATTCGGGACTGCTATAGTAACCCACAAGTTTCACAAGATTACGGTGATGCAACCTGCTCAGCATTTCAACCTCAACCAAAAACTCTTTATCACCTTGTTGACCTCCACTAGTGAGTCTCTTGATTGCTACAGCAGTACCATCACTTAAGACACCTTTGAAAACCCTGCCAAACCCACCCTCTCCAAGTATGCTCTCCTGCGCAAAGTTGTCAGTTGCTTTTTTGAGTTCTTCATATGCAAGAACACGTGTACTTGATGGGTGGGGAAGAGAACCTACAACTGGAAGTGAATCTGGAGTCCTCGGCTTAACTGAGAAAAAACAGGATGTAACTCAGATGAAATACTGATCGAAAGAAGTTAGTTATACTATAGGGAGGTAGACAAAAAACGACAGGATCACTCCTCAAGTTAATATTCTCAATTCTACGCTTGAGAATCTGGTTCAGAAACAGTAAACCTTTTTATATTAGCTATATGCTATGTTGCGGATCCGCTTTCTTAATGTCCCAAAACTTATGGATATGCAGGCAGCCCAATGGAATGTCATAGCTAAGTCTTTGTTTCTAATCTAAGTGCTGCGAATCCTGGTCATTCAGTTCCCGCTGTAATGTAGTTAATTTACTGAGGTTTGTAATGGTTTCATATCCGCAGCACTTCTATCCTATATGAGTTGTAGCATCAGTAAAATATTCCGAATGCATCACACCATATGCAAGATCAACTGACTAACATGATGCAGAAAATACTTGGATGGGATTGTAGTTTTTCTGCAAGATGATAGCGATAAGCATTAGATCCATTCTCAAAATTGTAAATGATGTTCACAAATCGAGCAAACTTTATTTATCTCAGATCCTCACACATTCTCATTTAAAAAAAACAAGAAAATTCTGTTCAAAGAATCACAAGAGAATCATTATATGTAATGGCATCCTGATCCATCTACTATAAGAGATCAGTTTTCTGATCAGTAAAAGTCCATCCATTATAAGAGACCATTAAAGCATCAAGCTGAATACTTCAACAAAACCATATATCAATATACAGTTAAGGATTCCGATTATCTAGCTTCTAAGAATCTATATTTAAGGACCATGAGCATGTTGTCGTTGTCATTGTGATCAGCAACTACATGCACTTACAACATAGCAAAGCAGGCATGCCAGTTCAACAAACGTACCAATATCCGTTGGACTGATTTCCTTAGATGCCTCAGACTTTCCCCTTCTGGAAGTGCATGCACATATTATAAGCCCCATTATAACAATCACCATTGCAATGCCCGCACCAATGCAGATTATAAGGACCACACTTGAATGCTTTGCCCCATCCGAAGGGTTAGATGGTGTAGCAGTTGGTTGATGAGGTTGTGCCACTGGCTGTGTTGTCGCAACAATGGGAGCTGCATCACATGCAATGGCAACAGCGATCAATTAAACAAACATCCCTCATATGGGAACAACCTCTCAGACCTCAACATAAAATTAAGCAGCACTCTCTAGGGTATCCCAACAAAGATCTACAGAGCTTCTCAAAACTGGATAACCATTCATCTCTTCTTTGACGTAATAGCATTTAACTCACACTATAGTAGACTGCATGAAGAGATGAATCATCAAAAACTGAGGCATGCATTCCATGTATTTAAGTCAATTCCACAAGAACTATAGATCAGATACATCTATTGGCCTTATATAATGTAACAAGAAAGCAAGCCAGAAAACCATAAAACAGCACCTTTCCGCATTATTAGGCAATTAAAAGGTTATTTTGCCAAAGAATGTTCTTTGAACTTCTTAACGGTTTCCAAAGAACCCGGATACACTCAAATCACTTCTTTAGATTTTCCTTTTACATAATCACTGTTGTAAGCCTAGACCATACAATGGCAATCAAACTTCAGAAAGCTTCCATGATTATTCAAACAGGGAATTGGAGCATTTTCAACTCTTTGATATCTAGAAGGTATACGGAGTTGATACAAACATGAGAAACAGATGCCTTGGGCGGGGTTTACCTTCAGAAGATGGAGGTGCCTTGAACCAAGTGATGTTCAAAAGTTCATAATCACCCACCAGCGCAGGGCTTAGACGAACCCGATGTAAAGAGAGGGAAGAGTTGATTGCATATACATCACTAGCTGAGAAACTCAATCCCGTTTGCGGAGTAATATCCATTGATATATTTAATCTTGTAAAGCTGAGCATATAAAAATTTATCAACTGTATTTGAGAAACTTGCAAGCCCAGCTGAGAAGCAAATTCTTGGAGAAAAACATTCCCATCAGGATTTTGAGATACATTTAGCAGCAGAAGGTCAAGCTTTATGGGATAAACACAATGGCAACCTTCGCTGCCCCGTTTTAGCACCATGTTGGGTTGGCAACAATCTGTCAAAAGCAGGAGTGAATGAACATGATAATGTCAATTAGCTCACAATGATAAAAGTCTGAATAGAAGAAGAGAAGGCAAAGAGGACCGGTTGCCAATTTATTTTGTTTACCCCAACATCACTTCGATGCCATACTGTAATGAAACAATCAACGACTACTCTAGAATCTTTCCAATCGTTATCATTTATCAAACCCACCTTTGAGAGAGACAATTACTAGATAGCGATAGGAAAATGCATCGAGGATGCAACGTACTTGAGACATTATGCGACAGCGGTGGCTCAGCCAATGTGGCTGGAACTGTAGCAGGACTGGATTGAGTTGGGGCAATATCAGCCAGGCTGGCACTTGGAGGCACCAAGCTGCTCCTCTTCATTGATGGCTTGGACAAGCGTGAACTTGTTGGGGGGTGACCAGAAGTTATCAAGGGGTCATAATGAGGTGAATGATCTGGCGACAAAACAAGTACAGGTGCAGCCTGAGGAGAGATATGTCTCCGCCATTGTCTGTGTGGTAACTTCTTTGGAGGGGAAAGATCAGGAATAGCAGGAGTGCTCACGGTCGCACTCGGAGATATTGGTGATGCTTGAACAGAATTGTAGTTTGAATCAGCAGATATGATGAAAATAACATGACAGGAGATGACGATCAGTTTCAGCAACAACCGTTGCACATCAATCCTTTTTCCTGCAATTTGAGAACCAAGAGAAGTCGAATTTAACAAAATCCAACGCAATAATCATGGAAATAACCTGCGGCTAATTCGCTACACGATCGTGTTAACTCTTTTCTTTTTCTGGAACAAATTATAGATAACCTGACTCTAGAATGTGTCAGATTGTATTTGCGAACAAGTGACTGACAAAGTGATACTACACTCACACGTCTCTCATTCATTAGGCATTTTTGAAGGCATTTATTAAATATTGATTCAACACCTGAATGGTCGACCATTGAGCTCAGTGTTCAACAGAATGTTGTTTGTCCAATATAGCCAGTGGAGGACACCAACAACAAATGAAACTTGTCTTGGATCTACTGGAAACCATAAGGCTTTTCTAGTCCTACAGAGTGAGCATAGCAAGTTGTAAAGGCGTCTTAGGTTAGTGATCAAAGATCACAAGCTCATTGAGTCAATACTTGAGAGCTCAAAATGGGTATAAGTAAATGCTACAGCTTACCCAACATATGGGATTATTTTCGATAAATGCTCTGACAAAGGCCACTGGAACCGGTTGAAACAGCATCACCTTCTAATCGTTTTTAGTCGGCAATTTACCACGCAACAAGTGAATGCTTCTGTCAACTACACTTCCACTCCATGTCGACAGAAGCGGGATGATGTCAAAAGTCGGATTTGTCTATTTATGCGCACTCGTGACGAAATTGAGCATGCAATGAATCGAGATTGCTCTACGACCAAGCTCTCGATTAAAAGGAAAAGAGGTTTGCAAGAACAAGTGAGGTAGGAACGGATTTTTCACTTCGAGTCGCTCCTTGAAACTCCTGGTGCACGCAGATTAGAGGTCTCGTATAAACGGGAAATCCAGAAATTTGGGTTAGTTCAACCCGAACTCCCGCACAAACACAAGTTACCTATTAATCTAAATCGTGTCGCCAACTAAGGCTTCTAACAGGCCCCCGAACCGGAAGGATTCTGTCGGAAAACACGTACACGATTGAAAATGGTGCGAAGTTTATCTTCCTACTGAAACTAGTGACTTGCCAGCCTGCTTCCGCTCTCATTCCTCTGAAGAACCAGAGCAAAATCAAATGCTAGGCATCGAGAAACCGACACGGTCCATTCCCTCTCCCGAGCGCGAACTCCCAATCCTCCGAAACATTCAGCATCGAATCAAGCCACTCGAGGAGACCGCGGTCTCGTCAGAATCAAAGCGACGAGCGAAACTAAGAAATCGAAGCAAATCTCTATTACCTCCGGCGAAGAACCGCTGGAGCACCGACATCACCGACGGCGCCAGATCTGCGAGGATTCCACCAGCGGCCGAGATCGCGCGCCGAGCAGCAGCAGCAGCAGCAGCCGCGACGGCAACGGCGGCAACGGCAAGAAGCGGCACCACGAGCTCCGCCCAGGGGGGGTTAATCGAAGGAGGATCCGGCGGCGGCGGAGGAGGCGGCGCGGCGAGAGCAGCAGAACCGCGGCGAGGCTCGCCGGGAGGCCAGCATCCTCAGCGGCCGGGCCGAGCCGGGCCGAGCCGAGCCGGCGCGCCTCGAAGCTCCCGGAGCAGCAGGAGGGAGGGAGGAAAATGTCGAGCTCTCGGCGCGAGGCGAGAAGTAGAGAACTGTGTCGTTATCTTCTGCCGCACTTCACCCGTCTTTCGTCGCGTGCGACATCGAGTGAAGAAGAAGAAGGAAGAGAGGACTGAAGAGAAGCAGCAGCATTTTCTTTTTCGGCTCGTGGATTTTGTTTGTGTGTGTATTTGGGGAAACACGTTTCAATTCGCTTTTCTTTTTCTTTTTTTTCCGTTCATTTTATAATTTTATTGATTTTGTCGACCATATAGTATGATATCTAAATGGCTTGGATATAATAATCCTTGGCCAGGCAAGTTTCTCTCTAATGTACAAAATGATGAAAGCTATACCCACAAGCAAGATCAACATCCAGAATTTTTTTTTCTAAATCGGGGGTATCACAAATTGAAAGCGAGATTAATGACATGTGAATCGGGTGCTTGATTCCTCGAAGCAATTCCTTTTTTATAGTAATACGAATAATCCAAACTTTTCAATTAAGGGAGATGTTAAGGAGTTCTCAAGATAGTTATTGCGCCTCATTGAATGTGTTTTAAAAATATGAAATTGTCAATCTGGAGAAGTAATTACTCTTCCTAAAAGTGCAATTTTTCGATTTTCAAAGTGTCTCGAAATCGTTTATTCCTTTTATAGTCAGCTTAAAACGCTTATTAACAAAATCCTTTAATATACCTAGATCGTCCGGTTTAACCATTTTGATTTTCATATCCTGAGTTTTTCGGTGTCTTTCGTTCGCTCAATTCATTTGTGCTGGGTGCGTGCGAGCGCGACAAGGGAAGTTACGTAGCCCACTGAGGGACGTAATTCTCGAGTCATAATGGATTGTGATTTTTTGCGTTTTATTTTTCGCAACTATTATATAAAAAAGTCGCGGCACGCGTAAAAATTTTAAATTTTTTTTTTTTTTTTACAGTTAGCGAAGGCGGATTCGTTTTTTTTCCCTTTTCTTTAAGGGAGGGACATCGCTGCTCGAGGACGACGCCCCGCGCCACGTAGGCGAAGGATGGGGGGGCGGATTTTTCGTTCTTTTCACCTCGGGCCCCGGGGGGGGGGGGTGGGGCCCACGTAACGGAAAGGCCCGCCCTAACGGTAACAAGCGACGTGACGGGAGCGGAATCCAATGCGACGTTGACCGCGGACCTCCTCACGACGCGACTCGGTCCCCGCCGCGCGAGAATTCGCGATTGGTGGGGGGGAGGGGGGAGGGGGGAGGGGGACGATCTGGACCGTCGAGTGTGGGGGGGTGGGGCCCCCTCTCGCGCGGAGGACGGCTATCGATGGAAAGGCGGGGAAGGAAAAAAGAGGGGCGGTGAAATCAATTTTTTTTTCCGGGACGGGGGAAAGAATCGTGATGATGATTCGCGATAGAGTTAGGTGGTGTCCTCGATCGGAGGACGGCCCGGGACCCCACCACGACCTCCTGGTGGCGGTCGTGCCGGTGCGAGCCCTGGCGCGCCCGCCACAGCCAGACGTGCCTTCCTCTGCCCTTTTTCGATTTGGCCAATCGGTCGTCGCGGGGCCACGGTTTCCCAGGCGTTCGGGGGGGCTAAGACGGAGGAGGGCCCCAGGTTCTTTACTTGGCAGCGACGGGATATGATGGAAGTGTCTCTATCGGTATCCTAGTCATCACTTTGCTACGAGACCAACACCACAATTCGTTAATTGAATTGTTTAGCTTTTTTTTTTTTTTCTTTTTCATTTTAAAAATGATGGAGTTACTTAATTTGGTTTCGGTTTATCGGAACACTTCTCTATTCGAAAAGTAGTCTCTGATCGCATCAAATAATAATCGTTTGTTCGATATCATCTTCCGCTTTTCATATTCAAAATTGATTGTTTATTTTTTTTTAATGTTTCATGATACCTTTCGCTGCTAATTTACGTAAACCGGATGTTGAGCCCTGTCGTTCGGGAATTTATGAGCCTTCTTGATGGCAGAGCCGGCTTCCATGGACATCAATTGTTCACGAATTGCGTTTTACATTTTCGTGCGCTCCAAAAGAACGCGTGCAAGTGCCGAGTACCGATCGAATCATCGGGAGAGATCCGACTCACTGTGCCTTACGTGAAATACCTTTCTTTCGTACAATCCTCCTTTGCACTGTCTGTTCATCATATAATATTACCAACTAGCGAACTTTTAGCCTTGTAATTGTGGGTGTTTATGCATTCACTTTCAAAGTGAGGAGAAGACCTGCCTCTACCTTTCGCCAATTGAGTAGCTAGCAAGATGGCTTTGCACTTCGGATTGAAGAGCTGACCCTGCTTGGACATGGGCCCCTGAGCAGCTTCGAGCTCCGCCATTACGATCCCGTCCTGCCAGGACCGAACTGCCAGGAGAGGATTGGTTTGCAAATTCGACAACTCCATCCTGTGGCGGGGACCGAGCATCTCATGGGGACCAAGTTTGAATTATAGGAAGTAGTACTGAGACTGTTCTATGTCCACCCTAGAGCTACTTCCAGTATGGAATACTCAGTCAATTCGAAGACACGATACATCGTGAAAACAGATAGACACAGCCAGACAACCGGGCATAATAGAGAGAAGGCACTAGCAGCATCCCGTGAACTTCTCGATGCCCGTCTTTGTAAGCAACAAGTCTCCTAATGATATGTCCAGAGGTACCCAGTCACGGTTGAACACCAGAATGCTGCTGACATCTTGCTTGATCTACCTGTAGAAGTGAACTGGGCATACCGCATGAGCCGGGTAAGGCTAGTCATACTGTCTCTTTGTCATCATAGCACGGGCTCGCTTGCACACTCATGGAACGAAAAAGGTAATGTGGTTCTAGGACACCAACAGATGTAAAAGTCAAAGATTTCCTTCGGTTAGAACATCCCAGTAGGTATACCACCAGGCAGATGAAGACGGTCTCAACAAGTTCAGCGATGAAAAGGCGCCCATAAGACACTTCAAAAGCTTTAAGCAGGATAATAAATCGATTGCTACTGCTGCCAAAGCATTTTGGGAAGTTCATTGAGCAAGAAAATCTTCGGTATCATAAAAGTTCATGTCCAACCTAATAAGCCTGAAGACTCGGAAGTACATAACAGTCGTAGGAAAATGTAGACTGAGTAAGGAGGTTTAAATGATGAGTTACTCTCCTCTTTTTCTCTGCCTCTCATCTCTCCCTTTATTGCTGTTTCCCACAAGATTCGTTTACACAACTGATCACTTACATCTCCTGGCCTTCTTTGACTCGGATTGGACGTGATGTCGCTGTTTGGTTTCTGGCTTTCTTTCGGCCCGTGATCATACCGAGCCTTCAGCGGCCTCCCCACACTGTTACGTTGGTGTGCGTCGGCTCCGTCCTTCTTGTCAATGCCAGTTCGGCTTGCTCCAACGAGGAGGAGGATAAGGAACCTGTATTTCTCTATGGACACGACGAGGTTAAGATCCATACTATAACAATGTCCTCGAATTTTTTTCCCACCCTATAATCAACCTACTGCACACTTTCCCTGGCAGCTTCAAAATTTCCAAATGTAGTCAAATTGGGGGAAAAGTGCCAAAAAAGTCCTAAACCTTTTGCATTAGTGCCAATTTAGTCCTAAACCTTTTTTTGGTGCCAATTTAGTCCTAAACCTTTTGCATTGGTGCCAATTTAGTCCTAAACCTTTTTTGGTGCCAATTAAGTCCTAAACCTTTTAAATTGGTGCCAATTCAGTCCTAAACCTTTTATTTTTGTGCCAATTTAGTCCTTGGTCAATTTTGGCCGAATTTGCCGACGTGGGCGCTGGCCGTGCGTGCAGTCCACCGGCGCCGACGTGGCGGCGACGTGGATAAATTAAATAATATTTTAATATTTTTTGAATTTTTATTTTTCCTTTTTTCTTTTTTTTTTTCCACTTTTTTTTTGGTTTCTTCTTCATCTGGCGGTCGCCGTCCGGCGCGCTCCCAGGCGTGGCCGGCGAGCTCGACCTCGCCGGCCACCTGGGCGGCCTCGCCGCGAGGCCGAGCCTCGCCATGGTCGGCGAGGCTCGACCTCGCCGGATCACGCAAGGTCGAGCCTCGCCCGGCCCGCGGCGAGGCCCGACCTCGCCGAGATCCGCGAGGTCGGGCCTCGCCCGACCATGGCGAGGCTCGAGCCCTCGCCGGAGGCTGCGGCGAGGGCGAGCCTCGCCCGACCATGGCGAGGCCCGACCTCGCCGGGAGCCGCGGCGAGGCGAGCCTCGCCCGACCAAGGCAAGGCTCGAGCCCTCGCCGGAGGCCTCGGCGAGGGTGTCGACCTCGCCGAGATCCGGCGAGGTCGGGCCTCGCCCGACCATGGCGAGGCTCGCCCGACCATGGCGAGGCTCGCCCGCCGCGGCCTCCGGCGAGGGCTCGAGCCTTGCCTTGGTCGGGTGAGGCCCGACCTCGCGGATCCGGATCGAGGTCGGCGTCGACCTCGCATCCGGCGAGGTCGGGCCTCGCCCTCGCCGCGGCCTCCCGGCGAGGGCTCGAGCCTCGCCCGACCAAGGCGAGGCTCGCCCTCGCCGGCCTCGGCCTCGGCGGGTCAGCCGGACCGGCGACCGGCCGAGTAAGGAGGAAGACAACCAAAAAAAAAGTGGAAAAAAAAAAAAAAAAAGGAAAAAAAAAAAAGTCAAAAAATATTAAAAAAATATTAAAGTTGTCCACGTCGACGCCACGTCGGCGCCTGTGACGCGCACGGCCACAGCGCCACGCTAGGCATCCGGTCTAAATTGGCCGGAGGACTAAATTGGCACAAAACAAAAAGTTTAGGACGAATTAGCACCAATTTAAAGGTTTAGGACTTAATTGGCACCAAAAAAGGTTTAAACTAAATTGGCACAAATGCAAAAGTTTAGGACTGAATTGGCACCAAAAAAGGTTTAGGACTAAATTGGCACTAATCAAAAGGTTAGGACTTTTGGCACTTTTCCCGTCAAATGGAGAAGGATACAATAGAACAGGTAATCTACTGTGATTCTGGTAGTACAGACAATGAGAGCAAAATGAAACAGAAACATGCAGTAATTTACAAACTAAAATCACCGTGTCCCGGGTTCAGTTTAGGATTGACATACGGCTTCATGCTCTTTCAAGAGATTGGTAGGGTTTCAAATTAGATTCGGTGAGGTGACCATGAATATCATATCCTAACTTTAGGAATGGTAAAT